AAAAAAAAAAAAAAGAAAGATGGAAACAAACTTCAAACCCAAGTCTGTGCAGCTCACAAAGCACTTTCATATTCATGACCTCCCCAGATCTGTGAGGATGGCTGTGCAGGTATGATCAGCCTTCATTCTAGCTGAGGACTCTGGTTGCTGTAAATGGTAGTGGGAGAGGGAGTCTATTATAAGAATCCAAGTCTCTGGAATTCTAAGATGCAGAAGACATTTATTATGCTCACAGACTTATCATGGCTGTCTTAATGTGAATTCAGGCCAGTCCGGGATTCAGAATTTTATCTATTCCCTTAAGTGCAATTGTGAATTCATCAGTGCCCAGGAAAAGCACTGATGGAAAATGTCACACTGTGAATGGAATGTCAGATATGTGTGTATATGTGTGCGATATATGCAAATATCTAAAACAGTCTCATGAAGAAACATCTGCCAACAAGCTGGGCATAAAGAAATTTAAGATTAAATTTAAGGCGGAATATACAGTGTTTCTTCTTTTTCTAAAGATACAAACAAGTAAAACCCACTCAGGTTCGATGAATGGGGAATAGAAGTCTCCCCATTGTAAAGGTGTGACCTTTGACCCCAATTATAGGGAACTTAAACTACATCCCTGAGGAGTCCCGTGTTCTCGAGTGGATGTGATGATAAGCCAGTGAAGAGTGATTATTCATAAGTCTGAATGGCTTGTCTTCCCATGCTGCAGTTCTGGATCATGGCTGATCTTCTTTCTTACAAAACACTCACGAGCCATGAATTCGTTGTGCTGGACTCCCAAGGCAGGCCCAGCCCTGTGGTTCACCTCTTCCCTACATGTCTGGACAAGTATATTTGGTTCATTGTTTATATAGACTTGGCAACTTCCTGTCAATGTCTCAGGAGAAGTATAAAGCAGACCAGAAGTGGAATGAGTTTGTTTGTTTGTTTTTGAGACGGAGTCTCACTCTGTTGCCCAGGCGGGAGTGCGATCTCGGCTCACTGCAACCTCTGCCTTCTGGGTTCAAGCGATTCTCCTGCCTCAGCCTCCCAAGTAGCTGGGATTACAGGAGCGTGCCACCATGCCCAGCTAATTGTTGTATTTTTAGTAGAGATGGGGTTTCATCATATTGGCCAGGTTGATCTTGAACTCCTGACCTCAAGTGATCTACCCACCTTGGCCTCCCAAAGTGGTACGATTACAGGCGTGAGCCACCAACTGTAGCACAATTTGAAGTCAGGTAGTGTGATGCCTCCAGGTTTGTTCTTTCTGCTTAGTATTGCTTTGGCTATGTGGGCTCTTTTTTGGTGCCATATGCATTTTAGGATTTTTTTTTTCTAGTTCTGTGAATAATGATGATGTCATTTTGATGGAATTGCATTAATCTGTAGATTGCTTTGGGCAGTATGGTCATTTTCACAATGTTGATTCTTCCCATCATGAGCATGGAATGTGTTTCCCTTTGTTTATGTCATCTATGATTTCTTTCAGCAGTGTTTTTTAGTTTTCCTCATAGAGATCTTTTACCTCCTTGGAACTGAACCACAGTTTTAAATGCATTTTTTAAGTTTGATAGTTAAGAAAATAGTGTTGTGAATTATTTTAAAGTAATGACTCTTCTCCAAAGTAATTAGCACCTAAATTTTTTATAACAGTTTTATTGAGATATCACATACTTTACAATTCATCAATCTTAAGTGTGCAATTCAATGGTTCTTAGTATATTTACAGAATTGTATGACCATCACAATTAATTTTAGTACATTTTTATAATCCCCCAAAGAAACTTTGCAGTCTTTAGCTATCACTCCCCAATCTCCTCACCCTACCTCCCAGTCCTAGGCAACCACTAATCTTCTTTCCATCTTCATAGATTTGTCTGTTCTGGACATTTCCTATATATGGAATCCTGGAATATGTGGTCTTTTGTGACTGGCTTCTTTCATTTTGCATCATGTTTTTAACTGCCATCCATGTTGTGGCATGTATGAGTGCTTTATTCCTTTTTATGGCAAATAAGATGCCATTGTATTGACATATTACCTTTTGTTTAGCCATCAGTTGATGCACACTAGGTTCTTTCCACCTTTAGGCTATTATGAATAATGCAGATGTAAACATTCACATGCAAGTTTATGTGTAAACACATGCTTTCAGTTCTCTTGGGTATACACTTAGGAATGTGTTAAAATAGTTAATTGGGAGGCTATTAGGTTGAGACAGCTCCAGCACATTGGGTTCCTATGTAAGAAACCAAAACCCAATTCAGTGTAAACAGTAAATGAAACTAAAGCTTAACCAATCAGAAGCCACCAACTAACCTCTAACTAAGGACTTTCCACCTTAACCAATCAAATATTTTCATGATCTTGCTTCCACAAACACCTTATAAAAGTTTCCTCTTGCACACCTTCACTGAACTGCTTGTGGTCTGGTACTGCTGAATTCATGAATCACTGAATGCTCGAATAAACTCATTAAAATTTTCATGTGCCTCAGTATTTATTTATTTATTTAGACAGGGTTTCACTCAGTCACCCAAGATGGAGTACAGTGGCATGATCTCAGCTTACTGCAGCCTCTGCCTCCCAGGCTCAAGCAATACTCCCACCTCAGCCTCCTGGGTGGGAGGAGTACCTGGTACCACAGGTGCGTGCCACCATGTCTGGTTAATTTTTGTATTTTTGTAGAGACAGGGTTTCGCCATGTCACCCAGACTGGTCTCGAACTCCTGAGCTCAAGCAATGCCTTAGCCTCCCAAAGTACCGGGATTACAGGCATGAGCCACTGCGCCCCGGCCCTCAGTTTATTTTTAACAAGTGGAATTGCCGGGTCAAATGATAACTCTGCATTTACGTTTTGAAGGAACTACCAGACTGTATTCCAAAGTAGATCCACCATTCTACATTCCCACCAGCAGCGTGTGGAACTTTTGCTTCCTCCACATTCTCACTAACACTTATCTGCTTTTTTGATGAAAGCCATCATAGTGGATGATATGGTTTGGCTGTGTCCCCACCCACATCTCATCTTGAATTTTCATGTGTTGTGGGAGGGACCTGGTGGGAGATAATTTAATCACAGGGGGCAGGTCTTTCCCATGCTGTTCTCGTGATAGCGAATAAGTCTCACAAGATCTGATGGTATTATGAGGGAGAGTTTCCCTGCCCAATCTCTCTCTTTGCCTGCCACCATCCACCTAAGATGTGACTTGCTCCTCCTTGCCTTCTTCCATGATTGTGAGGCCTCCCCAGTCATGTGGACTGTAAGTCATTAAACCTCTTTCTTTTGTAAATTGTCCAGTCTCAGGTATGTCTTTATCAACAACATGAAAATGGACTAATACAGTGGATGTAAAATAGTATCTCATTGTGGTTTTGATTTGCATTTCTTTGACAGTTGTGTTGAACCTCTTTTCATGTGGTTAATATTTGGACAAATGTCTATTGAGATTCTTTTCCCACTTTTTAATTGGGTTATTTGTCTTATTGTTGAGTTTTAAGAGTTCTATCTATTCTAGAATACAAGTCCCTTAACAAATATATGATTTGCAAATATTTTCTTCCATTGTGTGTGTTGTCTTTCACTTTCTGGATAGTGTCCTCTGTAGCACAGAATTTTAAATTTTGATGAATTTCTATTTATTTTTTTCTTTTGTTGTTCATACTTTTGGTGTCACATCTCACAAACCATTGCCAAATTCAAGGTAATGAAGATTCACCCCTGTGTTTTCTTCTAAGAGTTTTTAATCTCTTAAATTTAGGTCTTTGATCTATTTTTAGTAAATTAGGAGTCCAAGTTCATTCTTTTGCATGTGGATATCTAGTCCCAGCACCATTTGTTGAAAAGACTCCTCTTTCTCTATTTGAATTATTTTGGCACTTTTGTTGGACATCAGTTGACTGTAAATGTAAGGATTTCTGGATGCTTGGTTCTATTCTACTGTTCTATATGTCTATCTTAATGCCAGTACCACACTGTCTTGATTACTGTAGATGTATAGGTTTTGAAATCAGAAGTTTGAGTCCTCCAATTTTGTTCTTCTTTTTCTGTATCATTTTGGCTATTCTAGGTCTTTTGAGTTTCTATGTGAATATTAGAATTAATTTGCCCATTTTTGCAAAGAAGCCAGCTGGGGGACAGGGCGTAGTGGCGTGTGCTGACAGGGATTCTGTTAAATCTGTAGATCAGTTTGGGGAGTATTGCCAGCTTAAAAATATTTGGTCTTCTGATCCATGAACATGAGATATCTGTCCATTTTTTTACATTGTCTAACATTTTTCAACAGTGTTTTATAGTTTATAGAGTATAAGTTTTGTACTTCTTTTATTAAATTCCTAAATATTTTATTATATTAATAAATGGAATTGTTTTCTTAATTTCATTTTTGGATTGTTCATTGCCAGTGTATAGAAATACAATTGATTTGTCTGGGCGCGGTGGCTCATGCCTGTAATCCCAATACTTTGGGGGACCGAGGTGGGTAGATCACCTGAGGTAAGGAGTTCAAGACCAGCCTGACCAACATGGTGAAACCCTGTCTCTACTAAAAATACAAAAATTAGCCAGGTGTGGTGGCAGGCACCTGTAGTCCCAGCTACACGGGAGGCTGAGACAGGAGAATCACTTGAACCTGGGAGGTGGAGATTGCAGTGAGCTGAGATCGTGCCACTGCACTCTAGCCTGGGCGACAGAGCGAGAATTCGTCTCAAAAATAAAAATAAAAATAAATACAATTGATTTGTATATAAATTGTCATTGTATACTGCAATTTTGCTGAACTTGGTTATTAGTTCTAATAGTTTTTTCATGGATTCCTTAGGATTTTCTATATATAAGATCATATCATCTGCAAATATAGTTTTTCTTCATCTTTTATAATCTGGATGCCTTTTATTTCATTTTCGTATACCCTAAATCTTAAAAAATAAATCTTAATGTTCATTTTTTGTTTGCTTAAAGCAAAGTTCAGTACCAATTATATCTCAATAAAGCGGTTTTAAGGAAACATTTTAACTTCCCTTAAAACCATCACAGTTGTGTGTGGGGGAAGGTGGGAGGGAAGCTGTTAATATGTTGGCCCATTTCCTTCTACGTTTTTTTCTAGGTATATTTGGACGCTTAGCCATAAATATAATTGGACTCATATTGTATAGACATTTTAGTCCTGTTCTCTGGAACTCAGTGCACAGTCAAGCTGTTCTCAGGATTAAGAGGCTTTATGAACATTAAAAACAAAATCTTAGCCCTGTCAAATGACGGTGTCCTGGAACAGGAGGCGGTGGAGAGGCTGAGTGCAGCTGCACACAGAGCACCCCTACTCCTGTGGGGTGGGGGGTTGTCCCATAGCCTCCAGGACAGCACAGCACCCAAGTCCCTGCATCTCTTTCATGGGAGAAAATGAAGGTCACACAGACCGCCTGGATTTCTTGGGCTCTTTTAAATGTCTAAATACCTCTAAATGTCTGGTTTTTCTGCTATTCTTTAATCCTTAGATAAGGGTTCAGAGACTGTGCTTCCAAGATGACTTTGGGACCAGGGTGTGTGAGGACGTGGGAAGGCGTGGCCCCTGCACGAGGCCTGGCTGGGAAACGCCGCTGTGATCACATCCCTCATCACTGACTGCTGACCACCTGGCAGTTTTCCAGGACCAAGCCTCCTGCGCTGTGTGATTCTGGGAACATCTCTGGCTCACAAGGTCTGAAAAGCAAACCAGTCAGCTATGGTATGGAAAACAGTTTTTACTGCCAGAATTCTTCCCAGCAGGTTCTTATGTGACTTGTTTGTGCTTCTGCTTGGCCCTAATCAGTTCATGTTCTGGGCAAAGGCACTCGCTAAAGATTGTTTCAGCAGACGTAACATTCACATTTTCCAGTGTCAATAAGAAGGCTTCAAAAGTAGGATTTTTCACAGGGGCAAAATATTACATTGTCTGATTAGATCATAATAGATTTAACCAGTTCCTCCAAAAAGAGACTGGAATCTTTTTGAGGGCCGCAAGCACTGAGTTTTTAATGTACTTCCTTAAATAAGGCTGTGTGTCACCAGCAATGGTGGCCAGCACTAAAGTTATCCCCCATCTTTCCAACAAGGACAATTCACAGGCAAGCTCCATCACTTAAAGACATGGCAGGGCTGCCCAGGGTGAGGTCTGGCCCTCAATTCTGGTTCTTCTGTAGAATCCACAAAGCCTGATAGTGTTTGGTCACAGAAAAAGAGAAGTTTCCCCAGTGGGACATGTTAGGGTTGAACACTTCAAAGAGAACAATTTACTTCTAATATCAATTCTGAAGGAAAGCAGCAAGGAATTCCTGTCAGACCTAGGCTGCTTGTATTTACAGGAACCTGCGTGATTGCCAGGCGACCCACACAAATCCCTCCAGGTGCCAGGGTGTCAACACTGGTAACTCAACATGGACAGAAGGGCAGACACAGGCCTGGAAATCCTTCCGTGTGCCTAACGAGTTCCCCGCAGCCTCATGGCATTGCTTGTAGGTTTCGTGGCATCTGGACAGACCCTCTGGGGCTTCTGCCCACCATTTTTGCCTGGCTCTCACCTCTGTGGGCCACCTCTGCAGAGAACTGTGCTTGTCATCCTCCCAGCTTCAGGACCTATCATTCATGACAGGGCATGTGACACCTCTTCTGGCTTTTTTTTTTTTTTTTTTTTTTGTTACTGATCCTTTAGCTCCCATACCCATCGCCTCACCAGTATGTTTGAGATGTATCCTGATGTGGGTGTCCTCACAGCTGCCTGGTGTCACTGTGTGTATATTTGCATTTTACTCTCCGCTTTTAGTCTCTGGCGCTCTCTTCTTACTTCTTACTTGTGCTCTGCCGCTTCTGCTGCTGCCTGCCTGCTCGCTGTGTGGTGTGTGTGTGTGGTTGTGTGTGGTGTGTGGTGTGTAGTTCGTGACTCATCAGGCCTCTGCCCATTTGATATCAAGAACATCAAAACCACAATATGAAAATCACTTGAGCAGTTATGTCTGGTGCTGACTTGCTGAGATCCCAAGACCTAGGCCAGTGTTATCCATGTTCTCCCCAAGGGGCTAGTCATGTCAAATGTGTTGTCCTCTGGTTTATTTTGAACTGATTCCTTCTCCTACCCACTAAGACTGGCATGTATTTAAAATCAGGCACGTGAGGACTCCTCCTATGGATTCCACAAGAACCTTGGGTGGGGGCTGGGGTTACATGGCCCTGAAAAGGTCCTCCAGGGGTCCAGATCTGGGGTCCCAGGTCAGGGCCGCTCCCCACATCTGGCAGGAAAGTTGCACACCACCTGAGCAGTGCTGCAGCCTCACCCACAGCACGCACTCCTGGGCCTCCCCTCTGCATCTGGCAGGGCAGTGCCAAGGAGGAGGGCTCCAGGCCACCCCCGCGCTCCCCACTGGGCCTGCGCAGGCCCTACAGTACGCAACAGCCGTCCTCTCCTCAGAGGTCCTGCCGAGGGGAAGGCTGGTTCTCTCCAGTCCTCAAGAGACACATGACAGCCTCAGGCCGCCGCCCCTTTTCAAGTCTCCACAACACAACACGTCCATTCTGCCTCTTTTTGCCATGACAGGGCGTCAGCCTTAAAACCACAAGGCCATCTTCATTCCTACTTTGGGCTATAAGTGGGGCTGGAACAGGGGTCAAGATCTTGAACAGGAAAGTCTGGCTCTTTTCCTGGAAGGAAAATACCTTTCATTTTTCCCTAATAAACCACAAACCCACTCTTCTGCCCCCACCCAACAAGGATGACCAGAAGCACTTAAACAAAAACCCCTGAACTAAACAACCAAAATTTCACAGTCGCTCACCCGGCAACCTGCCACACTAACATTTATTGAGCTTATACTGCATCCTACATGCTCTGCTAGGCACTTGGTAGGTATAATCTCATTTTATCTTCACCAAAATGCCATGAGGTAGAGACAATCGTCTGCGTTCTCCAAATAAGAAATTTGACTCTTAAAAACACAAGTTAGGGAACTTTCTCAGGATCGAGTGAGAACTGGCACCTACCTGATGCACGTGGTTGAGATTCATATAAATTATCTGGGCAGAAGAGACTTTTAGAATCTGATGCCCTATTAGAAAGTCACGTCTACCTGCAAAGTCTTCCTCTCAGTAAGCGAGTGTGGCCTCACTGGATTATTCCAGCACGCACTGCCCGCCCCTCCCAGGGAATGTGCTCAAAACCTGGTTCTGGGAATTCACCCTCTGGTTGTCTTGTCCTGTGCTGGCCTCACTGCGTTCCTCGGACTGGGCAGACCCAAGCTCTTTCAGAAAATGTTGTCAGGTTTTAGAAAAAGACAGAAATTCATATCCTTCTTCTCCCTCCTTTCACTTTGAGGGGATAGTTGCTTTTTAGCCATAGAACCTTCTAGTAAAGGGAAGGCCTTAGCAGTGGACATCTAGCAGTGGATAGCCACAGACTGTCTCCCACCCCCGTACCTGAGAGGCTCCCAGGCGCTGCTGAGGCCCCCTGCAGGCCAGGTTTGATGACTTTGACTCTCTGCAGGTTTCACTTCTTTTGAGGCCAAACTAGCTAGTGACTGTTCCGGGCCATCTGTGGCCATGGAAGCCAGAGCATCACGCATCTGCTGTATGTTTCCATCTATGGAAAATTAATTCTAAAAAACAGACTTTTTTTTTTTTAAAATTAAGACCAAGTCTCACTCTGTTGCCCAGGCTGGAATGCAGTGGTGCAGTCCTGGGTCACTGCAACCTCTGCCTCCTGGGTTCAAGCGATTCTCGTGCCTCAGCCTCCTAAGTAGCTGGGATTACAGGTGCGTGCCACCACACCAGGCTAATTTTTGTATTTTTAGTAGAGACAGGGTTTCACCATGTTGGCAAGGTTGGTCTCAAACTCCTAACCTCAAGTGATCCTCCCACCTTGGCCTCCCAAAGTGCTGGGATTACAGGCCTGAGCCACCCCGCCTGGCCTGAAAAAAAAAAAAAAACAAAAACCGGACTCTTTATGAATCCATTTGTAAAGGCATAACAGCGGTACATTTCTTTGCCACAGGGATGCCAATGACTGGGCCAGCCACCTTGAACATGGGAAAAGTGTTTCACATCAATGGCACGAGAGATCTTTGAGCAGTAGGTGGGGAAGACACCGTTTCAGTCTGACGAGTAAAGAAACTGTGGCAAAGAGAGGAGGGAGAACTTGCTTCTCATCAGAGCTGGAGAGCAGAACCTGGTCTCATAATTTTTTTCCCCTGATGAGGTTTTTCCACCTGGTACTGCAAAGACCTGCACCAAGTTCATGACGCTCAAAACGTCTTTTACTTCTTAAAATCCAAAAACGTTGATCTAGCCCCAGGAGTTTACTGCCTCTGAAGCTGCTGAAGCCAGGGTTCCCCTGTGGGAAGGGCCTGATGCTGGGGCTGCACTGCCCCCTGGTGCCCACTGGAAGTTATGTCTCCAGCTCTCCCACCGGATAGGGAGGGGAGTCAGGGCCCATACTTGCTTCTTCCGCCTCATCTTCCTCACATACACACTCCTCTAAATGGACAGAAGGGGACAGGGCACAGGGAGGGGCCTCACAGGCCTCCACTCACACCCCCATTCCCATAACCAGAAAGTTTTGACATATTTTTATTAATTAATTTATATTTTTGGAGAGATAGGGTCTTGCCCAGGCTGGACTTGAATTGCTGGGCTCAAGCCATCCGCCTGCCCCAGCCTCCGGAATAGCTGGGATCAACAGGCTCTCCATGTGGTCAAAATAAGCATGGTGAACCCAGTGTGTGCAGTCACAACCCCCAGAGGTCCTTCCATGAGTGTCTGTCAAACCCAAGCTGACACTGCCTTTCTCCAGAGAGGTCCCACATCCACCAAGGACATGATGAGGTCGTGGGGACTCTTAACCCAGTGCTCCACTTCCAATGGCCAGGCTGATGCTCTGAGGACAGGCCTGTATCTTCCCCCCTCTGCAGCCATCAGGGCGTTGATGCTGTCTGTTGTCCTTGACCACTACCCAAAATGGGAACCTCTAGGGTGACCTGTCATCCCCTGTGCTGACAACAGCCCTAGCCTCTCCCTGGCCCAGGCCCACCCCTCCCCGGCATTCCCATCCGTGCCCTGCACTCTGCCCCACACCCCATCCCACAGTCAGCAAACTCGAGACTGAAGCGCTCTCCCACCTTCTCCTCTCTCTAGCTCTTCTCAGGCCCTGGCCTCCCTGTGATGTTCAGGCCCTGGTAAGAGTAAGTGAGAAGCTGGAGAAGGGACTGACCCCCATGCAGGCTGGCCAGGGCCAGAACAACATGCACAGCAGCTGTCAGCCCTGCAAGAAGAGCACAGCCACCACCCACCTATCCAATTCAAAAGAAAAATCAGCTTAAACTCTACACAGATGTAATGAAGGTCAACAAATCCTGGTTTCCCATAAGTGATTTGATGTCTTTTTCTAAAACAGTGTCAAACTTCAAGCTTTTTGCCTCCCAAAGCTTTGGCAACCTAAGCGGCATTTGATGTGCCTGTTGGGCAATGCACACAGCTGATGAGCGCAGAGGTGCGGCCAAGCGTGGGGATCCGGGGCCTGGTGCCCTGAGTTGAGGACAGGAGTGGGTGAGGACCAGTGGTGGGAGAGGAGAGTGAGCTTGTGATTTCAGAGGGAAGGGGCACAGGGAGGGGCTGCAGTGAAGCAGAGGAAGTCCCTGGAGATGAGGGAACCGTGTTGGCCTGACTCCTGCCCCCTACCTGCTAAGGAGGAGAGAGGGGTCTCTGGGAAGCTACCAGAGTTTCCCTCTTGTTGTGCTGACCTGGGCAGGGAACAGGCAGGATGGGGTTCTAGAACAGTCCTTGTCACTCCCTGGCTTTGGGAAGCTTGGGAACAGCACCCCAAGGCCCAGACCAGGCCCAGGCTGAAGAAAGCACAGGGAGAAGAATGAGGAAGTTGATGAGTAACCTGCAGTGTTCCCAGGGATGTGAGGGGGTGTGAGGGTGCAGCCCCTCCAGGCCCAGGTGCCTGCTGGCTGCTCAGAGGGACACCGTGCCTCACTGGTCCTGGTGGGTTTGCAATGGGCTCAAATCCTGTGCCTTCCATTTGCACGACTCCAGTTAAAGTCATTCAACTGCCCCTGGCCTAAGAGAGGTGAATGGGAGGTAGAGGAGTAAACGTAATGGGTTTTCACTATTTTTTAAATTATGGAAAACTATATATCATATAAAATTTGCTATGTAACCAATGTTTAACTTACAATTCAGTAGCAAGCATGACATCTCCCTAAACAGAAACTCTGTACCTATTAAGCAATAACTTTCTATTTTCCTCTACCTCCAGCCCGGGGTAAGCCGTAACCTACTTTCTGTGCCTGTGAATGTGCCTATTCTAGATATTTCCTTGCAAACTCATGCAGTATTTGTCCTTTCGTGTCTGGCTTCTTTCACTTTTAGCGTAAGTTTTTCCCAGTGCACCCACCTGGGAGCACGCATCAGACTCTCACATTTTTTAAGGCTAAAGAGCATTGCATGGCAGGGAATACCCACATTTTGCTTACCGTTCAGCCTGTTAATGGGAGTTTGCTTGCGGCCCCGGGAAACAGTGCGGCACTGCCCCCACTATCCACGGGGTCCCTGCCTTCCTCTCCCGGGACTGCGGGCCACAGGGAGAGATTCTACGTTTAACCCCCGGGGAAGCACACTATGTGGACGCTTTCTTCATGCTGAGCTGTAACATTCTGTTTCAGGAGTCTGTTTCTTTTGTAACATTCTTAAAACTCTTCCCTAAATAGAGAAAAAGACTAGACGGCCCTGAAGTATTTCTGAAACAAAATAAAATCTGACTGCTGAATGGCATGAGTCGCAGGGTCGCGCTCCAGAAGCCCCTGAGGGAGCCCACACCCCGCGACCCGCGAGGACGTGCTGCCACCTTCTGTGGCAACAGCCTCGGCCGCCGCTGACCCTCGGAGGGTGACCCCGTGGGTTCCAGCCTCCGGCGACCCTAAGACACCGGAGGTTCCTCGGAGAAGGGACCCACAGGCGCGGGGCGAGGGAGCGGCTACGCACACGGGGAGCCCCGGGCCCTGCAGAGCGGCGGCCGCCAGGGGGTGAGAAGGAGCCCGCGCCGATAGCAGCTAGGCCTGGGCGCGCCTCCTCCGCCTCCGGAATCCTGGGGTCCACCTGGAGGTGGCCAGTGCAAGTCTCAGCGGGGACGGGTAACACTTAGAGCCCAGCGCCGCTTTGGACGTGGGGACAGAAGACTGAAGGTTTGGGTCTTTAATGGGCCCTCAGAAGGGAACACTGATTTTGACCACACCTGATTTTCTGCAGATTGTGACCCTGTGCTAAAAAGCGTTCCTCTCAGGATGCTTCCTGCCTGTTTCTCTGAGGCCACGTGGTCCTGGAGGGCAGGAGCATCGTGCCCGCGCGTGTCTGGTGCAGGGTGGGCACCTGCACCCATGCCCTCAATGACCTGGAGCTCAGGGAAGGAGGGAGGGATGGAAAAGAATAAGGCTGCCCCACAGAATGGAGGGAGAAGTGAACTGGGAGCCTGAACCCTAAACAAGTGTCAATTCTGCTGCTGCTTTCATCCAATCAACCCACAGGATCCATTGGCACCAAAGGGGCCCAGACCCAGGGACACCGAGGTGACCCCCCTTTGAATTCATTTGAAGGAAAATGCAAGCACAACAGCCTGAATTGGGGGCTTTCAACTTAATGCAAAATGCAAAGTATATAAATATGAATTACATACTTAAAGATAAGGTAGTTAAGAGCTCTATACATGTTTTTAAGTCTTATTAAAAGTTCACTAAATTTCATCACATTTTGGTCGTTGTACTGTTATTACACGAGAGTTTCTAGGAAATACACACAAATATTTAGTATAAGGGGCATCAAGGCTGCAAATGACTCAAAAATAGTTCAGACCAAGAAGTGTTTTAGCAACCTTTTTGTAAATTGTCTGAAAATATGCCAAAATATGAAGTCAAAAGTCCGGGGAAGGGGCATTTGGCAATCTGTTGGGGGTACCAGCAGGAAGCCAGCACTGGGACGAGGGGGAGCACGTGCTGGGATGTAGGGTTTGTATGCATGACCCATGGAGTAGGGGCCAGTGTAAACCTACATCCAGGTTGGGCAACAAGGAGGGGTGGAAAGACGTGGAGTCTCATGATGGCCTGCCTGCGTGTGGGGAAGAGGAGTATGGGATGACAGCAACATACCCAAAGCCCCAGGATGGCCCACCTGTTATGCCTGGAGCTGGTGCACGACTTATGGGTGAGTCTGATTCAAAGGCCCAGATGTGCTGCAGAACTGGCACCTCATTTATCTAGTCCCTAGGAGGAAGGCAGATTTGCAGGCTATCAGAGGTGCTGTGTGGCTCACAGTGGTTCTCAGTGACCACATCTGTACCACCCTCCTTACTGGGACTGTCAAAGTTCTTTCCTGAGACTTTCCAAACTCTAAGGCAGAGGGAGAGATCCCATCTCCTTCTCTGGTCAAGAGACTGTAAGGGATGTAAGGTGGCTTTTAGAGAGATCTGGTCTGAGTGAGGAAGAGGCAGGGGAATAAAACATCCTGCATGATGCATCCTGGAAATCATAAGCCATAAATTTAGGCTTATGAACCTAAAAATGATGTATTTGCTGGCTTTGTTCATGTTGGTACAGAAGCCTACAGAAACACTTGCATATTTAGGCAAGATGTATATAGAAATATTAATGGTAGCATTATTTGTAAAAATGAACAGATGCCTATTACCCAGAAAATGCATAAAATACTGTGGCAGCTGCCTTCTAGTACGCCCGCTCTTGTACAGCCCCTTCACGTATTGAACAGGACGAAGCTGCAATAGCAATAGCATATTGGGAAATTATGTGTGTGACTGTCAGAGCCGGGTCATAAAAGCCATGTGGCTTATGCCTTGCTCTCTCTTGGACTACTTGCTCTGGGAGGAAGCCAGCCACCATGTCACAAGGTCACTCAAGCAGCCCTGTGGAGAGGTCCATGTGGCAAGGGGCTTAACATCAACTTGCCAGTGATTTCAGTGAGTCATCGTGGAAGCAGATCCTCCACTCCCACTGAAGCCCACAGTTGACTGTAGCCTCAGCCAACATCTTTACTGCAAGGCACCCTGCCAGACCACCCAGCTAAACCACTTAATTCCTAACCTGCAGAAACTAAGTTAACGAATGTTACTATTGCAAATTATTGTGGTTTAAATTTCGTTGATAGGATTGAGGGGCATTTATTGTGGAACAATGGATAACAAATACAAATGTTACAGAATCACACAGTGAAATTTTAGCTTGCTTGTTTTTATAAAGAGGTGGAAATGGCCATGTCATAGCATTCTCATGAGTTCTAGTTCAGAGTCTATGTGAACGCTCTGTATTTGCACATAGCAAGGACTCCAAGACACTTGTTGCTGCGCTTTTCCAATTTTGTTTCCTTCCCTTAGACTTCCAAGTGAGTTCTCTCTCCCTAAAAGGCAGGTATTTTTCCCAGTTTCAATACTGTCTAAAACATTCATATTTGGTGGGATGAATTCATCAGTCCTTACAAGTTGGGAGAAAAAAAATCTATCTCCTTTTCAGGACATGAGCTATAATCAGGCCAATCATACCTGAATGGAGACTACAGAAGGTGAACTTGTATCAGTGGTCTCCAGTTCATCTTCCAAGCACCTGACTCTTAGGGATGGGGTCTAATTAGGCACTAATGAGGTGGAGATTTGAGAGAGAAAATGCCAATTTGAGTTCCTGGCACCTCTGCCCAGCAATACAAAGGTCTAAGAAGATTTCATTTGTGTCTGAGAGAACTGTGTTCCCGAAATATTGTATACAACATTTAGTTTTGTTTTTTAACTTTATCAGGGTAAGCCAGAGATTTGTATAAACACATTGAGATTTGTCCCTATGAAAAAAAAAAAAAAAAATTGGGCAGCTCCCAGTACATCCCACCGATACATTCCCTGACTTCTGAAACGTGGGAAAAAAGCTCACATTAACACCACGGTCCATACCAGAGTGCTCACTGTTTCACTCACCATTTGCCAAGTTGCTTAAAACTACTGGCTTATCCAAAACACGGAATTTTTCTGTGCTACACTAGAGTAGAGCATATATTTAAATATGAAAGAGATCATTAAAAATTCAAAGACAACAGAATTAAATGAGGGCTAAAAATGTTGTATGCCTTTGCCAGAACAAGTTAGTTTGGTATCCCCAAACTTGGGTGAGAGCCAGCCCCTCAACCAGGGGAATCTGTGCTCTACTTACATGCAAATCTCCCAGTGAAATGCTGCTCCCTTGCAACATACTTGTACAAAAGGGAGCTAAGTGGGGTGGCCCACCTCAAAGAGAGAACGAAGAGAATAAAAAGGAAGTTTGTTGGTAGTGTCTGATTATCCCCCCTCTGCTAGCCTCCTCATCCATGCCACATCTTTACAAACCTCTTCTCTCAGAGGTGTCAACTACTGCCTCTTCCCACCCCCATAGGGTTTCAGAAAGCCCTGAGTGGCGTTAGATTTCGGCAGGTCCACAAACAGCATCTAAAACAGAGGTTCTGTGTGGCCAATAGGGTTTCAGGCTACCCTTTGAGAGCCTGGCACAGAACAAGGTCTCCTTTCACTTGACCCTCCTTTGCCAATACAAGGCTGTTTGGCTGGGTCCAGCACCCCATGGGACAAATGTTCTGGCCAAGAATAGTCTTCATTCTTCCCATGAAGCTTCAAAGAAGCTTCTTCTAAAGAACACAGGAAATTGTCAGCCCCTATTTTCTGCTGAAAATGGCTGACACTAAATTTTGAACATTCTATGGATTAATCCCAAATTATGGGAACCATAATTTGCTTGAAAAGCAGCAAAAGTTTTCATTAAACATGAGACTCTGATAAACCATCTCAGCATTATTTACAAAGAATGATGTATTTTATAACTCCAATTACTAACATCTTCCCTCTTTTGACCAAAATTACCTTATTGCCATGAAATTAACTCCAGAAGACTATCTCTGTGCACAAAGAAGCAGATCCCGAGACTTATCATGGCACTATGCACATTTCCTAAAAATAAACCATCACTAAAACTGAGTACTTTTTGGTCTGTCATGACCCCAGCAGATTGTCACATTCTTGAGGTCTGGACACCTTAACGTGTGCAGTCACAATGTAATCCTCACTCCAAACCAGCAAGGAAGGCATGGGGCCCATTTATAGCTGAGGAAACATTCAGAGAAGTTACATGCCCAATTCAGAGTTGGGGTCTAAACTGAGACAATTAGTGTGTCCGGTGCTTTCTGCTTCTCCAGGCTGCCTGGTGGCCAGCTGACCCTTTAATCAGGGAGCTTCTGCTCTGTGCTAACAACTCTGTAGAAGATCATGCTTCAGAAATGTGGCAGTGTAGCAGACCAGGTGCTAGTAAGGCATAAGATTTACACACAGGCCCTGGTGTCACCAAGACCAGTTCAAACTCTGGTTCTGCCAGTTACCACCTATTGAATAAACTACTAAATATTTTAAACCCTCAGTTTCCTCATCCTTTTGCAGATGAGGAAGCAGGGTTTAAAATGTTTAGCAACTTATTCATTTATTAATGTATTAATAAGTTATCCTAATAGGTAACTTATCCAATTGTTATCATTAAGGATTAAATAACACATGTAACTACTTAGGTTACCATCTGGAACAGGACAGCTACGGGAAGTTATTACAAAAGGGGCAGGTAAAATTCTGAATGAAGTACAAGGACTTACATTTGCAAGCTTATCATCAGAAAGGACTGCGATTTACTCATGTGGCAAATTTTCCTTTCAAGTCAAGTAGGACATTACAGCGGTCTTCACTAGGACCTTCCCTGGTGATTCAACAATAACTATTAACTATCCACATACTACCTAGATCGATGGCCTCCAAGGTAGAAAGTAATAATTCACTGGGGCTTGGCAAAAGAGTGCAAATCTTTTTATTTCACTCTTTCAAATTTTGTTTCATAATGTTCACATTACTGTAGCAGTACATTTGTTGACACATATTTTCGTTGATCAATACATATAATTATGGACACATGCTCAACAAATATTTCTGCAAGGAAACAGCATCAGGTTTGGAGACCGTGATCTAGATAATTTTCTGAGTCAACATTTTGCTCCTGACGCATTTGTGGCTATCAAGCCATCTTTCCTTTTTTCCCCTTACCTACCATATTCTGACTTCTACTCCTAGATTAGTTCCTCCAAGAGGATAAAACATATTAAGATGCGGTGGGTCAGAGTGTGCAGGTGGTAATGTGACACCCAGCTAATGAGTCCAAGAGGCATGGGTATCTCCTCAGCTTTCAAGATTACAGCCTGAGCTACACAGAAATAAGCTGTGTCCACTTAACTTGCTTGTGAACCTGCTATGGAAGCAATGATATCCCATTCCACTAGGTGGCAGCAAAACTCTATCGACAAGGTGCCCAAGTGGTTCACCGGTATTAGTGCTTACTTGTTCAGCCCCACTTAATTAGCAAAAAGACAGTGGCTAACAGGATACTTCAATGACATAATGCCTCTGACAGTGGAGAACAGACATTGCCATTCTGCTTTCTACAAGCTGGCCTTTCTTTAGGCCTACTTGAATTTTACATGTATTGTGAATGATCCTTTCAGAAATCCACAGGCCAAATAGCAAAAAGAGCCTTCTGACATACTTAAGCCTAGAGTCAAAAATCAAAAGTCCTAGTAAAAGTAAAGTTATATAGATGCTATATCAGATTCAGGTGAAACCCTGGGCATGCCATGGATAAAGACTTCTGAAAGTTTTCATTAGCATGGTAGAATGATGAATGTGTCTTACAAATTTATTATAATAATACATAGAATTTTGAAATAATATTTCCCAGAAGCAGTAGTACTTAACCAGTTAGGCAGGCAGTCTATATACACTTTTTACCTTTGCATTCTCCAAATTCAGTAGGTTGTTCTTAGCCTCCCTAAAACCAAACATTTTTGGCTAGAGGTGTTAACCCAATCTCTCAACACAAAAACGGAAAAAAATAAACACCCAAACAACAATCTCTCTGCTATTGACTTATAATTATTCCCTCTGCTTAGGTCTTTAATTTTAAAAAGTAAACAGGGTAAAACATTTCAAAATAATAAACTGGGCTACATTACTTACTTAATTTCTTACTTAAATTATGCATTATGTTAAAATCTATGTCACTTGACCTTGAGAAAAGAAATTATACTACCCTCTTTCCAGTTAAAAAAATTTCAGTTTCCAGGAACTTGAGAGTATACCTAATCTGAATGAGTTAGAAACTGTTCTCAGAGGCCGGGCATGATGGCTCATGCCTGTAATCCCAGAACTTTGGGAGGCTGAGGTGGGTGGATCACTTGAGCTTAAGAGTTCGAGATCAGCCTGGGCAACATAATGAAACCCCATCTCTACAAAAAATAGAAAAATTAGCCAGGTGTCGTGGTGCACGCCTGCAATCCAGCTACTCAGGGGGCTGAGGCAGGAGGACTGCTTGAGTCCAGAGGGTTGAGGCTGCAGTGAGTCATGTTTGTGCCACTGCACTCCAGCCTGGGCAATGAAGCAAGACCCTGTCTGGGGAAAAAAAAAAAATTGATCTCAGAAAAATAAGCATACAAATGAGAGATAGAAATGAATAGAGATATGGTATCTCTTAAATTAGAAAACCAGCACATATGCATTCTAAATGAGACAAGCATATAAAAGATGTCATCGTAGAGGAGGCAAACTCAAGTTGAAAAGCTTCTTCCCAAACATACTCTAGTCCAGTACATCGACTGTAGGATATTTAAGACCCCACACACTATTACATCACAACATCGTTTATTATGTGAATTTTTTACAATACAAACAAAAAATACAGAAATGCAATATATGAATACAGCTAAATGCAGAATGGTGACTTTTTTCTCTTCAAGAGGCCATGATTCCCATTTCTAGTAAAATAAAGAGACTGCATATAGGTAGAAACAGGTTGGTCATTAGCTTCACAATTTTGCCTAGAAATGATCTATAAATGCATTTTCCCCCCTGCTACTTACCATAAAGTGTAAAAAGGGAGTTAAAGGAAAGTTTCCTTGTTGGTTCCTACCATATGAAAGATGCTATATTCTATTTTAGCTGGGCCAATATATGGAAAATATCTAAATTAAATGTTATTACAAAAATGAAGCAGTAATGAGATTCTGGCTAAAGAGGGCACTAAATGAGAATAATATATATTTAAAGAATCTAAAACAAACAAAAAGAGGTTGTTATAAAAAAGCTCTAGGTGCACTGTAAGCATATAGGGTTTTTTTTTCCATGTGTATTTTTAAACAATGGAAGTGTCAAAAATAGGGTCAACTGTGTTAGACTAAATTACATTATTGTATATGCTGCACTGAATGGAACCTTTGTATTATAATTATCATAGAGAAGCACAGTTTGCATCATATTATGGCAATTTATCCTCAATGAAAACCTTCCAGAGTCTTTTTATTTTGGAAAATCCTGTAAACGATCAAACCACCAGAACATGATTGTACAACAGTAAAATGTTCTCTTGCATTAAACTGAAGATATCTGTTTAATAAAAAAAGAAAAACAAAATGTAGGAAAGGTACTTAGAGCTGTTACTTTCTAAGTACACAACACCCTAGACAATTCAAGGCATCTTAATCTCCATCAAGAACAACAACAAAAAAAATAATTTTTGTCATGCTGTTAAATCCATCATTATGGATAAAACTGGTGCAAATTGGTCAAACGGATCCAACAAACACTGATGTCCAAGCTGGCATATTGGCAACTAATACGTAACTGGTGGTCAATAGAGAGTTTAAAAGATCTTCCCTTTCTTCTTGTTCTTTTCCAAGGTTCTAAATGATGAAAGGGAAATAATCAAGATGAGTAACCATTTGATAAACATGATAACAACAGCTAATCCAATTACAACAATGTTGGGATTTTCAGATACTTTTTCACTGAAAAAAATTAAAAGACTTAGAAGTAAACAGCTAAGACAATGTTAATCTATAATAGTATTTTCTTAGACAAATATTTGACAAAACTCCAGGATAAATAGTAAAAAATATGGCAAAACCCAATTTTAATATACAAGAACAATTATTTCCAAATGAAACAGCACAAACTAAAAAATATCAACCAGCATTAAACAGGGTGTTCTTTTCCCCCACTGTCATTTGCATTCTGCAGTGCAACTGCTTTTACAAATCTGTTTTCCTCTTCTTTGGGGAAAATGTTAACAGTAGTATAGTGTAGTAGAACAAATGTCAAATCTGAAAATGTTTAGTAATGAGGATAAACTATATAATCCTTATAGGAATGCCACTTTTCAGTTTTAAATGAAACTATTAAGGAAAAGAAAACCAAAAATTCAAATATTATTGAATTTTGTATAAATTAAGAGAAAGTAATTGATTAGCTGTAATGGAAATTAAATATCTAACATTTTGTCTTAAGAATTTTATCGTAACAACATAATCCAGTACAGTTAAAACGTATTCCTAAATATGTAACAGATTTTGAAGAATGTTCCCTTTGTGTGCCAAAAATTGACAACAACCCTTATGTCCAACAATTGCGGGGAGGAGGTAAGAAATCCAAGTAAGGTAAGTTAACTGGGGAGAATGTTATGAAGCTGCTAAATCATAATTATGAAGATTAAGTCATGAAAGATGTACTGAAAAATACTGCTAATGGACACAGACTGTATCCATCCATATAAAAATATTTATCCATGAAAACCATTGTGTTTGGAATGCATGATAATGGGTGATGACTTTTTAAGTGTTATTCTAATGTTTTTTAAATAAGTAGGAAAACAATTCTTTAAAACATTAATACACACATTTCTTAGTAATCTGCTATTAGTTACCTCGAAGATTCTGTTGTTCTGAAACACATTGAGCTTCCCAGTTTGATTTCTCATCCTCAAACTGACGACGTTTTTCCTCTAATTCTTTGTGCTGTGCTTCCAAATTCTTTTTCATTTGTTCATGGCGCCGCTGGAGCTAAATCATAGCACAGTATATAAAACAAAGCTAAGAAATCAGAAGCAGAAGTATGTTTCATCCAGACACCCTAAGCATAGGAGTATGAGCATTGAATAGCCCTATTGTAAATTCAGAGTACTACCTGGAAAGCACTGTCAAGGACTCCTCCTACTTTAGGACCCAAAAGGCCAGTGATCCAAGACAATAATCTTCGGAAACAGTAAAAAAAAAAAAAAAAAAAAAAAGCAACAAACTTAACAGTGTGGAGTACTTTATAATGGAAAATTACTATCTTATCTCATTTTTCTTTAATCACAAATATGCTGGAGGCTAGGCAGTGAAGACATCATTGTTCTCATTGTACAGATGAGGAAACAGTTGCAGAATTTAAATGACTTGCCCAAGATTGCTAGCCAGAAAGTGGAAGAACCAGGACTTGAATAAGCCTCCTAATTCCAAGTTTAGAAAGCTAAGACAAGTGAAAAGAAAGCAGGTAGTTTAGGATCCTAAGAGTTCAAAGATGCCAGTAAAGTACTCTGATTCCTGTAAGCAGTGGTTCTCGGACAGTGGTCTTTATGAAAATCACCTGGGATGTTTGTTAAACATACAGAATCCTGAACCTCACTCAGATGTACTGAATTAGAATATCTGGGTGTTCAGTTTGGAAATGTGGATTTTCAACAAGTTACAGTGATTCTAACGCAGGTGGTCCTTCCTCCTGTGTGTATTAATGCTGTAAAGAATGCTGACTGAGAGGTAGTAAACACTCATGCAAAGTAACTGCAGAAACAAAGGGCTTTAAGTCCAAGAGATCATTAGATAAATAATTTCATTTAGATGCAAGTCAATCCATTTCTGAAAAAAAAAGAAAAGTCAACAAATTTTAAAAAGCAGATTAAATCCTCCTATGCCAAATACCCAAGGACTATTCAAAACCTTCGGTTATCCAGGAATTATGTTCTGTTATAGATTTTACTACATTGGTGAGTTAACATTAACATAATGCTAATATACAACATTATTATATGTATTATACATATTATATATTATATATTATAATTTTGCATACAATTTTTCTTTTTTGCAAGCCCAAAGTGACTTCAGATTTATTCCTATTTCAATTATTTCATGCAATTCTTACAAGACAGAATCACCTAAGACACACTTGAGCAAACATGAGTAAATCTGAGGTGAAATCTTCCTGATGACAGCAAACAAGTTACTAAGAAAATGTCAGAAAGTAGGAACATAAGAAAATGTCTCTAGTTATTTTTTTTAAATGCAAGGGAATCACATATACACAATTCGGAATAGTAGTTACCTCTGGGAATGAGAGAGAGGGATACAATAGGGGATAGGCACACAGGGTCTTCAAATGAGTTGATAACATTCTATTTTTTTAAGCCAGGTGGTAGGCTTACAGTGTTCATCATTCTTTAACTTACATTTATGTTACATGTAAGTAATTATCTTTTGTGTTAACTGCATGTAGATAAAGGTATAGGTCACAATCTCACTCTTAAGAAACCCATGGGGTCAGACGCCTTTCGAAGTTCAACATTTTTCAGTTATTAAAACCACAACACTGTTTAGAAATGAGTTCATACTATATTTATAAAATACCTTCTGGGCTATCTGGGGCAGCAAGTATAATCAAACACATTACTTTTTTTCAGTAAAATATATAAATATTCACAATATGTAGGATTAAAACTTAGTTCATGTTAGGTTTTGCAGTTTTCAGAGCTTTTTCCATTCTGAAACTGTGAAAAACAGGACTGTAGACCTATCTAGCAATTAGCAGCAAACTTAAAAATTAACTGGGTTCAAATGCTGGCATATTAAGTTAATTTATCCTTCTTCTTATCTATAAAGGAGAGATGGGCAATAATATCTACTTTGTAGGGCTGTGGTGTGCACTAGACAACACAATAAATGAAAGATGCTTGGTGCTGTGGCTGATGTACTGTGCTGCTGGCTGTGCCCCAAACAAATATTTCCAGCATAATGAATTTAAGAAGAAACTGTATTAAGGCTAAAAGGGTTTCTTTACCTATTTATGTATTCACATGTATCATATTTACATAATATATATCATGTATCATATACATGATGATTTGCAAACTCATTACCACAGGGATGTTGGTAAATACACTCTAGATGTGGTTTCATAAAAGACAAAGAATCTAGAATGAGCATGCCTAATTCTCTAATGGCTTAGAGTATCAGGTGGGAACCTTGGCCCAGAGTTCTTCACAGGTCCTTTAAATGTTAACATTCCATCCTTCAAAGAATAGTTCTTCAAAACTATCTTCACCATTCATAGTAATCATGAAAATTCCCAAAGGGTTCCTTGGCTACAGATTCACAATTACTTATTTGTAATATTTACTCTTAGCAACATGTCCTAAAATACATTTGCCTCAAATGTAAGTTAAACTACTTTTAGATTCTCAATGGAATTTAGTGTGGAGATAATGTAGTAGACTCTTGATTATTCCTGTTTTTCAACCCCTCTTTGGATATAGATTTTCCAGATTATATGTGAATTACTGAAGAGGTAGAGATTCAATGCATATATTTAACAGGCTGATAAATTAATCTCCAAAATGTCATGTTAAGAACTTTAATTATTCATTTATAATACAACAGAAAGAGCTAAGACAGTGATTCTTGATTGGGAGTGTGTGTGCATGCACATTTTGGTTTGCCCAATGATAGGAGGGCACTGCTATTAGCATTTAGTGGCAGTGCCAGGGATGCTAGTCCTGTAGTGCTCAGCAGTCTCAAACCAGGAGTAATTATTCCATATCCCGGCTAAATTAAACTCAAAACAAATATAACAACAGTGAAAGATTTTAGTAAGAAATTACAAGAAAAGCCCAATAATGTAAGAGAAATTATGTGGAATAAAAACATTTCCTCGAAATTATTTAATACTTTCTCATGCCATGCATTCTATTTACTCAATGGATTACAGTACTTTTGTTACGCCTTTAGTCAAAAAAGGTTTCCGTATTTTACGCAGTAATTACAAAAGCAATGCGATCAACTCTAAGAATATAACAGAAGAGATCTGAATCTCTTCTTAATATACTTAGATACAAATATCAGTGAAGCCACATAAAACACAGGGATCTTACTGAATTTTATCATTAAAGATTGTTTTAAAAATATTTTATATTACTGTCATCCATATATATATATATATATATATAAATCCATCCATAAATTATGTATATATATAATTTTGAGACAAGGTCTAGCTCTGTCACCCAGGCTGGGGTACAGTAGCACAATCATGGTTCACTACAGCCTCGATCTCCCAGGCTCAAGTAATTCTCCTGCCTTAGCCTCCTGAATAGCTGGGACCATAGGCGCATGCCACCATGCCCAGCTATTTTTAAAAATTTTCTGTAGAGATTGGGTCTTGTCATATTGCCTAGGCTGGTCTCAAACTCCTGGACTCAAGCAATCCTTCTTTGGTCTCCCAAACTGCTGGGATTACAGATGTGAGCCACCACACCTGGCCTTCATCTCACATATTTTAAAATAATTTACTATTTTATAGGATTTTTTTCTTTTTTTTTGAGGCAAAGTCTCGATCTGTCACCCAGGTTGGAGTGCAGTGAAGTGATCTCGGCTAAGTACAACCTCTGCCTCCCAGGTTCAAGCCATTTTCCAGCTTCAGCCTCCTAAGTAGCTGGGATTACAGGTACTCACCACCACACCCAGCTAATTTTTGTATTTTTAATAGAGAGGGTTTGACCATGTTGGCCAGGCTAGTCTCAAACTCCTGAACTCAAGTGATCTGCCTGCCTCAGCCTCTCAAAGCACAGGCGTTACAGGCATGAGCCACCATGCCCAGCCTATTTTATAATTTTTAATTATATCAAATTTATGTGGAGAAAATTTCATACTGAAATCACTTATTTATTTTGGGATTACCCATAGTTTTTTTCTACTATTCTCAGACATCTATCAAACTAACTGTTCTATGGATTCTTATGTTCAGTTTATCTTTTTCTCCATCTTTTCTTTCTTGCCACCTATTGAAGGAAATGTCTCTAAGGTCTTTTTGATTAATAGAAACTAAATGTATAACTCAACATCTAGAAGGGTTTCAAAATAGTAGATACGTCTTCTGGGATGTTTTGTCATTACCCTGCCCAATGTTGTACATGTACATTATAAATAAGAAAGGCCCAACCTTAACAAAAATTATCACATTCCCTAATTTTCTGTCCTTTAACTGTGTGTAATTTATCGAGGCATGTCTTTAGTTCAAAAAAGGTTATTTCCCTCTTTTTCATTCATACACAAATAAGTATGGTCAATTATTATTATCCTAACACTAGTTTTTGTGCATACATCCACCCCCAAACTCTCATCTTTAGTGTTCTTATGCCACCTGTATGGAATGGTTTGTAATTTTATTTTTTCACAACTCAAACTTGTTCATCATAACTTTAATAATTCATTGTAAGTATTCTATTACACTGTCCTACCTAATATACTATGTTTAAGCACTTACATATTGAAGCATATATTATTATAAACACAGTGCTTGCTTCTAGAAATTTCTCCATTTTGTTATACTAGGGTATTAATTTTGAAAAAACATGCATAAAAGGTTACTTTATCTATAAATTTTACTGAAGACACTACTTAAAAAGGAACACAATGTCTGCTAAGAGACAGAATATTAGACTGATTACCTCAGCTTCAGAGTCCTTCAGTTTTTGAACTTTTTCTTTGACCTTCATCTCAAACACCTGCTCCATCTCCATCTCCATCTTCTTCATTTTAGCTACATGCTCCCTTCTTTCTTCTTCCATCTGTGCCAGAGGGCTCCTGTCATGAATATTAAGGGTAATCATTAAATGTCTGTGAATAAAAATTATAATACAGAACTATGAAACAGCTGATGAAAACAAATGAGATGCTATATATGTATGTCATTATTATTTATAACCTAGAACTTCTTTCCATGATATTTCATATATAAAACTTATTATGGAAAAAAATCTAAAAATCAAAGATGTTTTCTAAACCTACTGCATATCAAATTTAAGGATGACATACCAAATAAACTGTAGAAGGAAAATGGGAAAAAAATTCCCAAAATACATTCACAGAACAAAATATCAGAAGAAAATCATTTGATTTTGTTCTTTAAACATTTTAACATGAAAAACAGAAAATAAGTAATGAAGTTAACATATGTAGAATATTTTTACCAAAATTTTTTTACCAAAATTTCAAGTGTTACCATCTCTTCTAAGACAGCTACTAAGAACACAAAAATTATTATTTGTTTTGGTAACTGAACTGATGCTGGAAACAACTACTAGTCAATACTTAGAGCACTATTTAGGCATACAGAATATTTCTAGGTCCCTTATAACTTCAATGCTCTTGAAAATTCATTCCACTTAACTCAAATATTTCAGTCTTAAGTTTTAAAGACTTTCAGTGATTTAAAACACACACACATACTTTAGAGATAATCAGGAGCAAATATTTTGTTAATAATTATTTTTTAAATGCCAAAATATAGACATAAGCATAGTTAAATTAAAAAAAAAAATGTTCACTCTGTTGACGTTAAAGTCCCATGGATTCAAATCTCCTTGAAGAATTGTGTTCAAAATTTTCACACTGATATATATTTACAGGTGGGCTTTGTTAAGGCTAATATACTTTCTCACAGAGACACAAGAGAATGCCAAAGTACCTAGTGCTTTTAGCAAAGGAGCAGAAAATGGGCTCTTTGCTTTGAGAATCTCTGAAAATTATTCAATACCCTAGGACAAATTAAAGAGATAAGTACTTCTTTGACTTTGTTAATAAAGCATGCTTGTTTTGCCTCCATAAAAACAGGCTTTGACCATTGAGGTTTACATGTTAAATGGGTAAATTTTATTGTAATACACTAATTTTAAGAAAAGAATTAACTCATGGCTTAAAAACAAAAACCAGACCTTGGATTTCACCCATAACTTTAAGGCTAGTCATGTTAACGCTGATTTTACACATTCTTATTATGGTGACTTTTCTCCTTATTAGGCTAAATATTTCTGACCATCATAGCAATCTTCTTTTCTATCAATGAAACAGGCAAGAGAGGTAGATAGAAAATGTTAAAAACAAAACAAAAAAGACGGAATATTGGCTACTAGTTTTTCTTAACAAAAAGGAAGAACAAAGATGTGATGTAATGCTATGATTAAGATGATCTGTTTTCGCAATTGCATAAATTAGAATAAAATGTTAACTCAAGGATATTTCTTCACCAAAAGAAAACTTACTTCTACATGCAAACCTGCCATATATTTTTTCAATTAAGCAATGAATCAAAAGTTCTGAAAATGAAACTACTGACATATTAACTTAGAACAAGAACCTGCATTTTAAAAGTGGAGTCAGCTGAAATACATTTCCAAGTGTAAATACCATTTTTTTTGTAAAAGTTGAGATGCTTAATAATATATTCCTCATATTAATGGCAAGTGTTTTTAATATAGTTGCCTCTGATCTCTTGAGCACACCCAGTGTCAGTGACTGCCCTGAACCAGCATACCAAATGTGTGTTTGTGTTTGCCAGCATTCTTCCGGTGAAAGGGTCCAAAGCTTCTGTTAGATTTTCAGAGTCTCTAATTCCCACCGTCCCCTACACCCCAAAAATATTTTTTAGTTTCTAGAAAATAATCTAAAAACAATTCTTTAATTGCTAACCTTAAGTAAATGAATATGTATATTTAAGTAATTTAAGATTATCCAATAATATAATTATGATTGTAAATATATTAAATTAGAAATCAGACAGAAATATCTATTCCTACCTACACAACTCATCTATAAAATGTTTATCTTTATCCTTGGGAAGGAGCAGGTAATTTTGCCACCTAAATTATTATTTAAATAACTCCAGGGGGAAAACAAGAGACTGCAGAGAAAACATGCAATGATGTTTCAAAATCTTCTTTTAGGCCAGGCACAGTGACTCACACCGGCAATCCTAGCAGTTTGGGAGGCCAAGGCGGGCAGATCACAAAGTCAGGAGTTCCAGACCAGCCTGGCCAACATGGTGAAACCCCATCTCTACTAAAAATACAAAAATTAGCTGGGCGTGGTGGTACACGCCTGTAATTCCAGTTACTTGGGAGGCTGAGGCAGGAGAATTGCTTGAACCCAGGAGGCAGAGGTTGCAGTGAGCCAAGATCGCGCCACTGTACTCCAGCCTGGGTGACACAGCAGGACTCCATCTCGAAGAAAAAAAAAATCTTCTTTTAAATTCAAATTTTAAGTATTAAAAATCCCTGTATAGTAAAATCCCCTGCCATACATGCCTTCAACTGTATCATATCCACAGGAACAAAAATTAGTGATTTAGCACATTTAAAATAAAGCATGCTAAAAGCTGCAATTAAAGTCAAATGCATAGCTTTCACAATTAAATTATTAAGGTATGTGCCCTAAATAAAAAATTTACAGTAAAATTCACTAAAGCTGATTTATTTCCCAAATTATGTTCATAATCATTACATTAAATCACTACAAAAATATGCTGTGCACTTATCTTCTGAAAGTCTGTTCAAAGTTTTAAATATGCTAAATGTGTTTCTAAAAGAAATTTGCAATTATTTGACAGTTAAGATACTGTAAGTTTTTTAGCCTTGTAAAAATAATCTGACCAAATATACCCAAATACTGTGAAAAAATGTTCATGCATATTTAAAATGAATTTTTTGAAGTCTCTCACCAGTAAAAATGATCTTTCAAATTTTTAATTTTTAAATTAACACCTCACTTCTAGTCATCTTTATTAATTTTTAGAAAATCGAAACAAAAAATTGTGCTTACAATATAGAAAATGTAGGGAGATCACTTTTTATCTTCACATTTACTATTTTTTTTCCAAGTAAAACCTTTTATTAAATGACTGGAAAAACCATTTAATTTATATCATTGCCCACCTGCTTTTTAACAGGAAACTCTTATCCACCCACATAGTAGTAGTAAAGCTTATAAACCTATCAGCGAAATTAAAAACCCAAAGAAATGAAAAAAACTTAGTAAAACAAGAAAAAGAAAATGGTTCCAACATAACCCGAATATGAAACTAAATCCCCAAAGACTTAGCTCCTTCTAGAGTTGTCTTTATAAGGTTAAAATTCCTGCAAGCCACACCCCTTCAGGTGACCAATAAGAGAATTACAGCCACCCCATAAGGATGACCTAGTCAAATTCTACTTTGCTGCATTACACATGCCCCACACTTGGAGTGTAACAAAAGACAACCATGTTTCATTTAAATTATGTGTGTGGTCTTTCCTAAAGAACAATTAAGCAAGTAGATTTACATACTTTTGTTCCAGTGGTCAGTAGGTCACTATGCAAAATTTTCCAAAGGAATTTCACTTAAATAATTTCAAAGATCAATATAAAAATTTCCAAAAATTTTGAGTAATAAGGGTTGCCCACATTTTGTTTTGCCACGTGAGAGTATTAAAACCAAACATAAACAAAACTTCCAACTACTATCATTATAATTTCATGAAAGGACACTTGAATAAAGAGTAAAAGATAAACTAAGTTTAATTTTTTGGAAACTTGAAATTTTCAGCAAATTGTCTTTATTTCTATTTAGATCAATGAAAACTGTGTCATGTATCAAGAATTCTGAGAATCTGCCTTTGAAACCTGTATTTTCAGTCATTTACTTATAAAGTTTTCCCAAAATGACTGATGGAGAAGGCTATAGAGAACAGAAAAATAAACATAAGGCAGAGAGAGACTAGGGTGTGCCCCAACTTGGAGCAAGGTATCTACTGTCACAATTGGTACCAATGACAGACATCAGTTCTGAAAAAGAGTTACCAATAAAATGTGATTTTAAGTAAAGGGGTACAAGGAAGATCAAGGAAAAAGGAGGCAGATAAAACTTCAAGAAGGAAGTTTAGCAAAAAAAAAAAAAAAAAAGATGGCCCTCCTCTTACTGGGGATCACCTCCTTTAAGAGATCAGCAATCTGGATATGACCAATTCTTCTTCCCTTTCCTTTATAAACCCTTGCTGAATTTTCTTTGATTTGAGAGGTTACCCTTTCTGTGGCTTTCAACCACCCATCACCCTCCACATAGGGATGCAAGATGCATTCTCTAAGGATATAAGTACTTGGATGGCTCCATACTTTCTTTGTCAGAAACAGTTGTAATTACTGGATAGCTGCTAAGAACAGCATCCACTTCTCCAAATCTACCCTTGAGACAAATTATAGCTGACTGGACAAGTTCAGCTATTCTTCAGATTGAAACCACACAATCTAATTATTGTTTTAAGTCCCTCTAAAACAGAATTGTTCTAGGGCTACTGACATAACAGAAAGGCACATTTTCAGACATCTACACATATGTTTTTAATTTTTATCTCATGTTTCAATAGACTCTATAGTTTGCCCAAAACTACCTCAGAAAATTTAAATATAAGATAAATTGATCTATAGTCATGCATTGCTTAACAATGGGGATACATTCTGAGAAATTCATTTGTCATTGCGTCAACAACACAGAGTGTACTTACACAACCCTAGACAGTATAACCTACTACACACTTAGGCTCTATGGTATAGACATTATAATATTATGGGATCTTGTCATACATGCAGTCAGTCATTGACTGAAACATCATTATGTGGCACATGAATGTATTTTACTATTCACTGTCTAACATCTTTAAAAAGTTTAGCTTATAGTCTAAAACCAAAGTGTGATTAGCACTTTGTGAAACATACATTGCCAAAGATCAGTTTAACTATAAATTTTCAATAGGTTCACCTTCCATTCCAAAGTTATTACAACTCTCAACCCCTCCCCACAACCACTGTCAAAGAATATACTGCTATGGAGAGTCGCATGAGAGCAATACAAAAGAACGTTAAAATAAGCCTAAACTCACACCTGCTTACTTCACTTATTTAAACATTAGTCTTTCTTTTCAGTTATTCATGGATATGTACTGACCTATGAGGAAAAGCAGCTTACATCAGCTAAAGCACCATAAGTTGTAAATGATTTTTAAAGAAAAAATTAACAAAAATATTTTTGAAATTGCTAACATTTTCAAGACAATGCAAGATACAACCAATAGATAAAACTTCTAAGTGATTTCTTTCAGGTTCAGTATGTGTTATTCAATGAAGTAGTAACAATCTAATTTATCAAATCATATCAAATATCTATTCCAATTACAGCCATTCCCCATTTGGCTTGATCTTGTAAAATGTTTATTTTCCTATTTATTATTAGCATAAAATATTATGCTAGCTCCTGGGGCAATTTGCTTTTTAGCAATGCAAACATTTCTTTTTTTTATATGCACAGGCAAAGTATGGTCATGATTCCTCTCTTTAAGAGATATATTTCCAGTAGAATTCCACTATTTATGCTTTCACCTGCGATATAGTTTAACTCACGTATTCACACAGTAGAATTTTGTATATGCAGAAAAATACTTAATGATATTGTAATGATCTTAATGATACTGCACTACTTTAAAAAGCCTTATATTTGAGACATGGGAACAAATAAATAATTCCTTATATCTACAACATAACATGTTTAAAAAACATATTGAATAAGTACATATATTTAACAAAAATTATGTACTAGTATTTTATTTTAACATACAAAATTATCAGTAGCTTTGTGTATGTGTTTCTTTTAATGAGTTAAAATGTTCATCGTTAATGATGAGTTTAAAGTGAATTAGGATTTTATGAACAATATTCACTATGATGGATCCTTACATTTTTGTGCCAAAGTTGCTCAATAAACATTTTGCTAAAAAGAGATAAAAAGCCTTCCTTTTGTTCACATATTGAGGCTTACCTCAAACAGAATCTTTTATTTTAAATATTTAAGGGACATTTTTCTATTCCACTATAAGGCATGTTAACCACTATGGAAAACACTATAGCTACTTTGAGAACTTGTCTTTCGTACTTATATAGTTGATCCTTTAGGATTATTGTCTGATGGTAGATAACACCTAGCTACAAATGCACATTATTTAAAACGGTTTTGCAATACAGCTATGCACTGCATAATGACATTTCAGTCAACAACGGACTGCATATATGATGGTGGCCCACAGGAACTAAAAAATTCCTACTGCCCAGTGGCATCTTGATGATCTTGACCCTGAGTAGGCCTAGGCTAATGTGTAAGTTTATGTCTTTGTTTTTAACAAAAAAAAAAAAGTTTTAAGTGAAAAAAGAAAGAACTTCTAAAATAGAAAAAAGCTTATAGAATAAAGATTACAAAGATAATACTTTTATACATCTGTTCAATGTGTTTGTGTTTTAAGCTAAGTGTTACTATAAAAGAATCAAAAAGTTTTCTAAAATTTAAGTTATTATAAAATAAAAAGTTACAGCAAAAAATATTATTGAAGACAAATTTAAGAAATAAATGTAGTATAGCCTAAGTGTACAGTGTTCATAAAGTCCACTGTAGTGTAATGTCCTAGGCCTGCACATTCACTCACCACTCACTCACTGACTCATCCAGAGCAACTTCCAGTCCTGCAAACTCCATTCAAACCAAGTGCCCTATACAGATACACCATTTTTAATCTTTTATATTGTATTTTTACTGCACCTTTTCTATGTTTAGATACACAAATTCTTAACATTATGTTACAACTGTCTATAACATTCAGTACAGTAACATGCTATATAGGTTTACAGCCTACAAGCAATAGCTAGACCACATAACCTAGGTGTGTAGAAGGCTCTACCATCTAGGTTTGTGCAGGTACTCTATGTTGTTTACAGAATGACAAAATAGCCCAATGACACATTTCTCAGAAAGGTATCCCCATTGTTAAGTGACATATGACGTAATTATGATCTTCAATAATGACAACATTTTTAAAAGTAGGGCACAGACATGGTTATCAGCTTCTTCACACATCTCTTTTTTTGACCCCAACATGAAACCACCACAGCTTGAGATATAAGCTCAACAGGGCAAAGCTACATACTTTGTAGTCACTTATACCACTCTAACAACCAAAAGAAGAAAACGAAACTCCAGCTAATTCACTCCCTGGAATAGGAATAGAGAAGGTAACCAAGAATAAGTTCATCTAAATATTCCTTTTGTTAAAGCCTGTCCTTTTTTTCCACATAATCTGTAAGTGAAAACACTATCAAAATGGTTCATTCAAAAAAAGCTTCTACTATTAAAGCGAAACAATATAAATTTATGCTGCTGTGCATAGAGAACACTATCCACATTTTCTACTGAGTAGCCAGGAGAAATTTAATGAAAATGAAACAATATGATTATTGACTACAGAAATAATACCTTTTTTGGCGAAAAAAATACATACTTACTTAGTCAGCTGCCCTTTATTCTTGTTGTTATCAACTCCATTGTAAGTCACAGCTGCAAGTTTTCTGCTTCTGTAGTTCTCATAGTGGACATTATTAGTAACATCTTTCAAGTCCTGCATGTGTGTTCTGTCATAAATAAACAGCAAGAGTTTGCTTCTATTAATAGCTAGGGGGAAAAAAGCTTAAAAAGCTTTAATATAAATTCAAAATTTTACCAAAACAAACATTTCAGATTTAAAATGAAAAAGACTATTGTTAAGGAAGGTGGCATTCATCTGTTTTCATTTACACTCAAAGTAGACCAACAAAAAATAAGCTAACTTGACACCAAATTTAGATTCCAATGAGATTTTAAGACCCATAAATCCCCCAAAGCAGTTACTGAAGGATGACCTTTCTATGAAAAGAGTATTCATCTTTGTATTACCTATTTAAAAACTAGACAAGATTAGCTACTACTGAAGCTTATAAAATCTAAAAGAAACTGCCTTTTAGTAATATTACTAAGGTAATATATGAGTTTTTATTAATACATAATAATAAATTTCAGATCACATATCAAGTTGCTTTCAAACAAGGAAATTTTAGAGTAGTTTTCTGTTTCTTCAAACTGTCTAGTGAATGTATTTTGGTTAAACAAATTTTTGCTTACAGCATTTCTATCATATATAAAATCAATACATATAAGTCTACAATACATATGAGATGATGTAATCATTATTTAATAATTCAAGACACTGAAGATACCCTTAGCTGCTCTATGGATATCCTTTACCAATGCAGTGTTCTTGGATATACATGGTGTGGCAATACTCTATTGTCAGTCCTCCCTCTTCTCATCATCCATTATATCTCAAACTACCTATATCTGCCATCACTCATTTTCACTACTTTACTAAAACTCCTTTCTGGGAGACAAACAAAAAAGTGTATTGTTGGCTGAGCACACTGGCTCACGCCTGTAATCCCAACACTTTGAGAGGCTGGGGCAGGCGGATTGCCTGAGCTCAGGGGTTCGAGACCAGCCTGGCCAACATGGTGGAACCCCATCTTTACTAAAAATACAAAAATCAGCCAGGTGTGGTGGCGGGCACCTGTAATCCCAGCTACTTGGGAGGCTGAGGCAGGAGAATAGCTTGAACCCAGGAGGTGGAGGTTGCAGTGAGCCAAGATCACGCATTGCACTCCATCCTGAGTACACGAGCGAGACACCATCTTAAAAGAAAAAAAAAAAAGTATATCGTTGTACTGTTTTTATCATTCCTTACATCCAGAAAACCTTTACTGTTACTTCACAATCCAGCTTCTTGAATCTCCCCCTTTGTGAATAAAATGTGATATCCAATCACTCTGATTCATTTCGTACTGACATTTCCATGCAACTCTCTGATAGTTCACTCTCCTTAGTCCTAAGTCTGGTTTTTCCAAAAATCTCATCTCCCAGACTCTGTCCCTTAATAAATTCACGTTCTCTTATAGCCACAACAGTTACTTCTAAAGCTCTACCACTCCACTTCAGTAAAGTCAGGCAGCTCCCTACTCCTGGCATATCTGGTGGTTGACACTGAACAGTTCATGCTAATTTGTCAATCTCTCGTCAAAGACTTGAACATACTTTGGAAACCTTTTTCCCAGCCTTGACATCAAAGCATTCCAACCATGACCATTTTCTCCTTGGTTGTCATTCATTTTTGGTACAAGTATATGTCATAGGTGACATCATACCTCTTCAACTGTAAGCTCCCCTTTACAAGGAACATGCCATTACCTTTTATGCCCCAATGCAGATAGCAGATAGGAATTTTAACAAAATTCGTAACTCAAGATTGAAGCTGAGATATGATAAACACTTTTTGGAATAAATTTTTGTTACCAGTTTCTCTAAGCTGAGAATAATAACAAACACCTATGCCAATATAAAACAATGTTTATGTAATTTTTCTTTTCTTTTGATACAGGGTCTCGCTCTGTCGCCCAGGCTGGATGGAATGCAGTGGTACGATCTCGGCTCACTACAATCTCTGCCTTTCAGGATCAAACCATCCTCCCACCTCAGCCTCATGAGTAGCTGGGACTATAGGCATGCACCACCATGCCCAACTATTTTTTGTATTTTTAGTAGAGACGAGGTTTCACCATGTTGCCCAGGCCAGTCTTGAACTCCTGAGCTCAAGCAGTTCTCTTACCTTGGCCTCCCAAAGTGCTGGGATTACAGGTGTGAACCACTGCACATGGCCTGATTTTAGTTATTATGTATCACATATCATCACTGCATCACTGAAAAATCATTAAAGGTCCTAAGGAAGAATACTTATATGAAATGTTTGTGTGAATGTGTAAAATAAAAGTAAGGTGAATTTACTAATTGTTAAGTTATTTTTGTTAGCGTCATCTAACATTTTAGATAATAATTTTCCCTTTCACTAAAATCACTATAGTCTTCTATACGACTACATAATTCTGATTTTTTCAGGTTATACAAGTCTTTATTTCCATTTAATTAAATATGCTTTTTCATTTTACGATTCGACCCACTCCTCCATTCTCAAAATAATTTGGTAATTTGCAATACAGTTTTCCCCAGTTTCAGGAATTTGTCTCTTCCATTTCCCATTGCTGATACCATAACTCTTTCTGTTCTCCTTTTGTTTTCTTTCCCCATTTGATTTCTGAAACACCCATCTCTACACCCTGAAAATATCTGTATAATTTTCTTCCTTTCCATCGTCTTCCTTGGTTGGCCTGGAGTAAGTCAGTTCTCTTAATTAGCAAACACTTCTTTGAACTTGCCTCTTTCTTAGAAGCAATCACTATTCCTTTGACCTGCAAGATTTCAATTATTTGGGATTTATAGACATCTGCAATATTGGTATTGGTACTATATTTCCTTCCTTCAAGTAATTATTAAATATCCACTAGATGGCTTTGTCTTAAAGACATGAGCTAAATTAAATATACATCTTTTTAATAACTTTAGAATTTTTAGGCATAAAAGTCTTGCTGCTCTGCTCTATTAAATCTTCCTGCAGGCATGGTCAATTTGCTCTGTAATGCTTATACTAGGGAGGCCCCTTACTAGCTGCCAGGCTGTGAACCTTCGAATATTCAAAGTAGCCTCTGGGCCGCGGAGGTGTGGTGGCTCACATCTGTAATCCCAGCACTGTGGGAGGCCAAGGCAGGAGGCTCACTTGAGGTCAGGAATTTGAGACCAGTCTGGCCAACGTGGTGAAACCCTGTCTCTACCAAAAATACAAAAATTAGCCAGGTGTGGTGGCGCATGCCTGTAATCCTAGCTACTCGGGGGGTTGAGGCAGGAGAATTGCTTGAACCTGGGTGGAGGTTGCAGTGAGCAAAGATCATGCCACTGCATTCCTGCCTGGGCAACACACTGAGAGTCCATCTCAACAAAGTAGTCTCTGACTCAGTACCTAGCTTTCCTCTCTACAGTGTTTTAGCTTTGTAGGCAATTATTGATTGTATACTTTTAAAATACACAAGAAAAAGTTATAGAATACCACTGTGTCAAGCACTGGGCAAGTACCATAGAGGATTTAAAAACAAGAGGAATGCAATGGTAATTTGTATTTATTAAACATTCTCTACTTATATACTGTCAGAGCAGATTATATTATTAATACATATTCTTTTGAAGTCACACTATAAGAATGGAAGAGGAAGGGAATATTCATAATAGAGCCTGAAGTTTTGTATTCTCAAAACCCAGAGGATGACCTTCTCGTGCATTTGCTCTCCCCCACTAAGTGAGGCCTGGCAACCCCAACTGCTGAATCAACTCTATCATGTACTTCCTACCAAGAACACTGGCTCCTTTGAAAATAAAGATCAATTACATGCCAATTTATTCAATTTCAAAATTCACTCTCATCTCTACTGTATTTCTTGAGGTAGCAGTTTGACTCTCTTAAATTTTCCCCCTCACTTCTCACTTTGAGAATGACCTTCTTGTTATTCCATGATTTCCAACTATTATCCATATTTATGTTACTACCTTTCTTTACACAGCTAAAGAGATTCTTCTGTTTTGGGAAAGTAGGGGTATGAAAATGAATGGATATCAACTTAAGACAGACATCTAAAACCGAAGGTTAAAGAGAGGACGTGGTAAAGGCGTAGAGAAGCAAGAGACAGAAGTGGGAAATGCGGAGTGAGGTAGGGAGAGGAAGGAGTGTGTCTCAACATGAAAACACTGAGGATCATTTTGATGCCCTTTCTGTTCCTTACCTACTAACATCTCTAGTCCCATTACACTTTTTCTTCATGACTTCCTCTCTGCTGCTGCTTTTCTAATTCATTAGTAAGAGATCCTCTTTACTAGTCCTGGTCCTCTAATCAGGATGGCCTCAATGTCTTGCCCCCATAGGCTTTCCTTCTCTTTCAGCAGGTGTGCAAGACACAAGTTAGGGATTTCTTTTTCTCACCTGGTGGGAAGATGGGTTTTGTTCACTGTGTTCCAGTACATAAAATGTGGCCTACTCACCAGCTATCATGATGTGCACCTTTTAAACATTCAAATTCTAGCTTTTGACTCAAAAACTAGCCTTCCCTTATATAGTTTTCACAAGTTCTTCACATTAAGAAAAAAGAGCCTCTTCTATTTCACTTTCCATAGTTATTTCAGTAATAAACCTCAACACAAAGTATAATGATAAAGTAAAGAGACTAATTTTCCTATGTATCCCTAAACAAATTATTTCGTAACTTGCTCATGACTTCAAAACCTTGGAGAAAGAATCATCTACATGTAGTGCTTACTTCATTGCTAGACTGAATATAGAAATTTAAATTAGCTATATTTATAGAAGGCAAAAAGCAAATCTGTCCCATTCTTACTTACGGAAAGAAAATCTTAAGCTATTTCCATCATTGCTTGCACTTACCTTATCAACATATTTCTTAGAATTGTAAAACCACAATGTTCACCATTTTCAACTGTAAGAAAAAAATAGACCACATTTATTATATTTCCACTAAACCTAGTCTCTTCAAAAAATATTTCACAGGAACTTGGGGCGTAAAACAAGGAGAGGAAATGCAAAACACATCAATTTTTTTGAGATTTAACACTAACACAGTACTAATGTAAGGGCATGACAGAGAAGTGTACTTTATTATTGTCTTATCGTAGTTTAATCCTCAGAAATAGATATGTAAATCTAACAAATGAGCTCTCCAGAAACAACTTTGAAATTTTGAAAAGGGAAATCATGTATTTTCTCATTATTGGTAAAAAATATATTTATTCTATAATACATTTAAAAAATTCAGTGGGGTGAGTGAAGGGAGAATCACTTTAGAAAAAATCTTAAGGTAAGCAAAATGAAAAAGGGAGCCAAGAACTTTAAGGTTCTTTACCTTTATTTTTAAAGAATGTATCACAAATAGGAATATTACTTGGGAATAGAGGGGTAAACTACAAAAGAGAGATGCAAATCAATTTCTCCGGTGCCTATTTTTAAGGGGTATATAAGTTCTAAAGCCTCAGCTCAGCAATTGAAAGTTGCCTGGGCATGATGGAGCCAGCTGGGAACAAGGTACAGGGGTCACTAATAGGAAAATTGCCAATAAGGACAGTAACTTGAAACAATACCCTAAAAATTAAAGAACTGTTAAAAATAAACCAGGGGCAGTGGTGTGTGCTTATGGTGACGTGATGTGGGAGGAGCATAACATGGGAGGATCACTTTGAGCTCAGGAGTTTGAGGCCAGTTGGGCAACATAGCAAGCTCTCGTCTCTTAAAAAAAAAAAAAAGTTCAAAAATAATAGCAACAAACAGATACAACAATCATGTCTCAAATTTTGGTTTCAGCTTACTGTAATACAGAAGATTAAATATCAGATTAAACCAATACAATAAACCTATTGCCAAGAGGAAGGACTTCTGAGGTTTGGTGTTATAACTAAGATTTTATTGGTATTTAAAACTCCTTACTTAACAACCTCAATAATTTAAGATAGCAAGTTAAAAAACAAAACAAAAAACTCCTTACAAAACTAGTAAAGAGGATCTCTTATTAATGAAAATTTTTTTACTCTAAATATGCGGTATCAAAAAGGGCAACTTTTACACTGAGGAAAGACTGTGAAAGTTTTAACTGGGCTTATAAATTTCTTCAATCATTCTTGAGGGTCCATGACCATCTGACATTCTGATAAAAGTGACTGGCCTTCTCTCCAAAATGTTGGATTCCAGGAGGTTCATTAGATTCCCTGGGAGCAAACTTTGGGCCCCAGGTAAAGAACCCCTGAATTTTAGGTATGTTTTCAAATAAGAAAACAGAAATAATCTTAATGATGAGACAGGAATGCCAGTCAGGGACAGCCAAGGAGGGGCAAGTTGAGTACCTCTTATTTTAAATGCTTGGGACCAGAAGTGTTTTGCACTTTTTTGGAATTTTGGAATATCTGTGTCATACTTACTGGTCGAGCATCCTTAATCCAAAAATCCAAAATTCAAAATGCTCCAGTGAGCGTTTCCTTTGAGTGGCATGTCAGTGCTCAAAACGTTTTAGATTTCTTTCTTTCTTTCTTTCTTTTTTCCTTTGAGACGGAGTTTTACTCTTGTTGCCCAGGCTGGAGTGCAATGGCATGCTCTCAGTTTACTGCAACCTCCGTCTCCCGGGTTCAAGTGATTCTCCTGCCTCAGCCTCCCGAGTAGCTGGGATTACAGGCACACGCCACCATGTCCGGCTAATTTTTGTATTTTTAGTAGAGACGGGATATCTCTGTGTTGGTCAGGCTGGCCTCGAACTCCCGACCTCAGGTGATCCACCCGCCTCAGCATCCCAAAGTGCTGGGATTATAGGCGTGAGCCACCACACCTGGCCAACGTTTTAGATTTCCAAGCAATTCACATTTTGAATATTCTAGAATGTTCAACCTATACTATAACTTTAGGACTTAACACATACTTGCCTGACTTAGTAGGATACAGGTTTAAAAATATCAGCGTATTTAAGGGAAAATGAGACTGCAAGAACCTGAAATCAGCACTATCCTTGAAAATCTAGACTATATCAATACAATATGCATATTGTACTACTTACTATAAATACAAATTTTTAATTACTGTTTTGAGATCTTATAGAAAGTCATTCACTGAAGAAAATCTTACCTTCAGCAACACCCCAAGGATACTGCCTTCCTCTGACCCTTTTGCCATTAACTTCAATGATAGTATTACTACCTACCACAGCAAGAGGTAAACGGTCCTATAAAACAAAGTATTCTTGTTCAAATACATCTCTGTAGTCCTCACAAATTCAAGAATAAAAAAAGTTACATTACTCAACAGATTAGCCAAAAAAAAAAAAAAAATTACTTTTGATAGTTTCTGTATTAGTTTTTAAGGCCATTTAACAAATATTTAGTAAATTGACATCACATGGTATTACCACCAAGGTAAACAATAAATAAAATTAAATTTTCTCTTTTTGTTGAGAATATTCAAGCATATACTTGGTCAAATTATTTACTAAAAATCACTACAGAAAGTTGTCCCATACTTAGGGGAAAAAAGGTAAAAAATATATTGGCATTTGGGGAAAAAAAAGTGGGCTAATGACTAGCCTGCCTACTTGATCACAAACCAACTACAACAGTACCTAAAGCAGGTAATAGTCTATTTGCTAAGCTCTAACTTCTGAACTTCAAATCCTGGCGACTGGATTTGTATTCATCTATGTATAGCCCTTCACAATTTTGTGGCTCCCGGAAATATCTAAGCAGCTATTTTATACAACTGCAGAAATTCTTCACTGGCGATGTATAACAATTTCATTATTCCAAGATATTTGCCTACATAATGCCATTATTCAGTACACCATTTTTAGGGCCAAACTATGTAGAAAATCATGAGATAAAATACAGAAAATATGTTGTTACTTTTTGGTTGGTTTTTATTATTTTTAATTGAAACATAATTGTACATATTTGTGGGGTACAGTATGGTATTCTGATACCTGTATACAAATATGTAATGATCGAATCAGGGTAATTAGCATATTTGTCAACACAAACTTATTTTTCTGTATTGGGAACACTCATAATCCTCTCTTCTAGCTATCTGAAAATATAGACTAAATTACTGTTAACTACAGTCACCCTACAATGCTACAGAACGCTAGAACTTATTCCTCCTAGCTAGCTGTAATTTTGGTTGGCTTTTATACAGACAAAATAAATACATTTTTGTCTGGCAATTAAAACATAACAGAATGAATTCTCTCCTTTCTCATCACTTGTTTTTTAAGAGGGAAAAAAATTACATAATATGAAAGCCAGTTAATTAAAAACAATTTGAAATAAGAATTGTGTTATTTGCCTGGGTAGTTTATACAATTCCTTATTAGATACACTAGCTAATCTTCAAAGTTAACTATAAAGTTGAATTCAACATTAAATCTCCCTAGGCATTTTGTAAGTCAACTACTTAAAACACTGATACTTTTGATCTTTCCTGCAGACACTGTAGTATGTTTTTAAGGCCTCAGATTACTTTAGTGTATGTACAGGGATGAACCTACCTTTATCTTTTTAACAAGTTTATTTTCTTCTTCATCATCTGTTTCTGGAAATTCATATATTTTAATTTTATGTTCTTGGATTTCTTTCATTATCTAAAATGGAAGAAGTAGTCAGCAAAAGAGCACCATACATAATTAGTATGTTAGTCTTATGATTATTACATGCTTCTTAGATTCTTATATGGCTCCTTGTTTCCAGATCCTTTACTGTTTTTAATGATGCAAAGTTGTAATCGAAAAGTACTATGCTAGTCTTTTTTTTTTTTTTTTTTTAACTGTAAAGTTGATATATAAATACCAAATCCAATTACTTCAGAAGTGTTAAAGTCATACAGCTATCATATCAAAAGAGTTCCAAAAAAGATGTAAAACTCCAGAAAGGGATTTCTCTGATTGATTTCCACAGTAATGACCTTAGGTCATTTATTTACAATGACTGAGATTCTTCCTTTAGACACAAACTCCCAAGTATCTTATTTAGTTGAATAAACAGGGCTAAACTCACCTAAAATTTTTAGTAGAATCTGGCAAAAGTAAGGTAAAACTAAGTACAGCACTGCTCCCTGCACATTCATCAGAAAAATTCTTGCATGTACATGTATATACACACAAACTGAGGAGCAACAGGTATAAGATTAGGGAAGGACACAAGGAGAAAACACACCTTAGAAATTAAGAAGCTCAAGAATTAATAAGGAAAATGAAGAAAACTAAAGAAGACAACTTATTAATAATATCAGTCAAATTAAATTATCATGTCCAAAATCATGCCAAATTCTAAACAGAATACAGACATCCAAATAATTTTCAACTACCTATCCTTATTTGAACCCATAACATACCAATGGCTAATATACTAAACCTATCTTCCCTACCTATACTTATATTTTGGTGCAATTTTCATGGCAAAGGTTCCCAGCAGTTATAAAAGGACCCTGAACAAACTACGTTACATGGTTACTATACTAGACAGAAGTAAAATTGTCACTGAAAGAAAATAAGACCACACATCTTTTACAATTAGGGTATGTACCTAAATTAAAAAAAAAAGAATAAACGAGGAATTGCAAATACATGATGAAGAGAAAAACGAATAATAGTAGCTAGCACTAAAAGCAGTGGTTTTAGTCAGAGGTTGTATATTAAAATGACCTCAGTACAACCACCAGAATGTGACCAATTTGAAAGAAGAGGTCACTTCATATTCATCTTTTTTATCAGTAAAAATCCAAATCGAAATACATAATAAACGAAGAGAAATGCATTATAATACTAGTATTTGAAACTTAGAAATAGCACATTACAAAATAAAAATGGGAATGGATAAGTGTAAAACAGAAAAATACTAGATACAGTAAAAACAATGTACTAAAACTTTCTGAAAATTAGTATGAATTTAGCACAACTTCAAAGTAAATTTTAACAGGCTTTTTATAACAGGTTTCAAGGTATTCTGAAATTCATATTGAAAAAGGTGAAAAACAAAATATTTTGTTACAATAGGACTATATGGACAATAGAGATAATTACAATCTATTTTTAAATATTATACAAAGTTGCTGTGGTTTAAACAATATACTACTGGCCAAAAATAAAGACTACTGCAATAGAGAAAGGTTCCAGAATTGACCCTATATTTCAAAAAAGGTGATATATAATGAACAAGACACAAATTAGAAATATGTGTGACTGTGTAACTCAATATTATTGAGACAACTAGACATGAGTCTAGAAAAACAGTTTAGTGGTCTTCCAGCTAGCTTATACAGCATGAGACTCTTAATCTTAGGGTCATAGGTTTGAACAATAACTCAAACTAGAAATATCCCATAAAGTGCACTGAAAACAAAATTAGGATATAAGCAGCAAAAGAGAAAACAGAAAAAACATTGTGAAAATGAGAGAGAACTAAATACTCAGAATAAAAAGAACCCATATCAATAAATACGGGAAATATCAAGTACTACTGGTCAAAAAGACAAAGGATTTGAACAGATGTTTACAAAAAGGGGGAAAAAACAGCTTTGTTTTTAAAATGTTCAGCCTTTCTGGAAAGTAAAAGGAAAAGACAAAGAAATGATTAGGTACCACTTCATTCCAAAAAAGTTTTCAAAATAAAAATAACAATGCTGGCAAAGTCACAGTGAACCAGATGTAGACTTTAGAAAACAAATTTGTTTTATTGGGAAAGCACCATGACAAAATGGGGAGTGGGGAGATAAAGACCCATAAAAAACAATCATAGCCTTTGAAAGAATAATCCTCTTCCTGGGAATTCATTCTAAAAAAATAATTCGAGGGGAGGGGAGGAGAGGGGAGGGGAAGGGAGAGGAAAGAATAATTCTAAAGAGTATGGGGAGAAATTGTCTGTGTGGGGGTATTATTAAAGAACACTTAAAACAGTCATATTTAAAAACTGACAAAGGCAGAAGATTTAAGAGTTATTTTTAATACAGTATAAATGACAATACAGTAAAGCAGTAACAGGAATGGATTGCAATACATTATACTAAAAATAGTAAAAACTGCAAATTATGAGAATGGTATAAGAAACCTGGGTTAACCCATCCTGCTCACCTGTTTTTTAAACTGTTGGCATTCCTCTGGTGTGAGTGTGTCTGCTTTGGCAATAAGTGGGATGATATTCACTTTTTCATGCAAACGCTTCATAAACTCAATATCCAATGGTTTAAGTCTGAAATACACAGTATTTAATATGACTGAATTCATCAGTTTGGGAGAACAAGATTCTTCACATCCCCAGTGCTAGTTAAATACAATGTAACTACTTTACTTACTTATCAGAAACACTCTGAAGATGTATTAGGCCAGCAAAAGTTAGGTAGAACAGGACTTCAAGAAGCATTGGAGTGGCTAAGGCTTTGACTCCTGCCCTTGAACCCTGGTCACAGGGTTTTGGCCCTAAAGAGGAATTGGAAAAACCAGAAAGGCTCCTAATAGAATTTCCTAGAATTATCTCTATATTTATTACTCAAAATTTACAAGGTTTTAAAATTTTATTTTTTTATTTAATTTTTTAAGACAGGGTCTCACGCTGTTGCTCTGGGTGGAGTGCAGTGGTATAATCTCAGCTCACTGCAACCCACCTCCCAGGCTCAGGAGATCCTCCCACCTCAGCCTCCTGAGTAGCTGGGACTACAGGTGCACACCACCATACCTAACTAATTTTTGTATTTTTTGTAGACACAAGGTCTCACCAGGTTGCCCAAGCTGGAGGATTTTTTAAAAATGAAAAATGGTAGCCCTCTTTCAACTCCACATTCAGTTCTTGCTATCAACTATCTTTCTCTGACAAGATGCTCACAAGATAATCTTCAACATCCCTTTTATTCATTACAATCTGGCTGCTACCTCCAGTTTGCCTCCGTACTTTCAAGAAGATGACTAAATACTTCTATCATGGTGCTTACCATTACTTATTCTCTCACAAGCTCCTCTTCTTCCTTACAATACTTTTCAGGATCCTCTTAGTAAGCTAGTCCCTTAAGAGGTACATTCTTTAGAATTTCATACCAGGCTTTCTCTTCTTACTCTACATTCAGTACAATTATTATGACTACAATAGATTTCAATTATCTTCAATTGGTCAACTGACTTCCAAATCTTCATATACAGCTCATATCTCACTGTTAAGTTCCAGATTTGTGTTTACCCAGTGGATATGATACCTGGGTGTTCCATGGGCTCCTTAAAATCAAAAGCTCATCTGAACCCCCATTTTCCCTCTTCTATGCTTCCTATCTCAGTGAATGGCACTACAATCTTCCCAATTACTCAAGTGTGAAACCTAGGATTCCTCCCCTCCTCTAATCCTATTCCCACATATATAGTATGTGTATAGACATGTGTATGTGTGTGCGTGTGTGTGTATGTATGTATGTACATACGTATATCTCCATTTCCATTACTTTAGGCCACCAAGACCTTTGGAATGAATAACTATACTACAAACCATCCATACTGAAGTCAGAGTGGTCTTTCTAAATCCAAATCTTATTATGACCTGATCAAAAATCTTATTAAAGGCCAGATGCCTTAACTAGAACGGCCTACAAAGCTTATGAAGACATAGACTCTCAAGCTAACCTCAACTCTTAGCATGCCTGGCCTTTCTTTTGCCTCCTACTTCCAATGCGCCAGCCTTTTTGAATTTCTTTTTTTTTTTTTTTTTGAGACGGAGTCTCACTCTGTCGCCCAGGCTGGAGTGCAGTGGCCGGATCTCAGCTTACTGCAAGCTCCGCCTCCTGGGTTACGCCATTCTCCGCCTCAGCCTCCCGAGTAGCTGGGACTACAGGCGCCCGCCACCTCGCCGGCTATTTTTTTTGTATTTTAGTATTTTAGTAGAGACGTGGGTTTTTCACCATGTACGCCAGGCATGGTCTACGATTCCTGACCTCGTGATCCGCCTGTCTCGGCCTCCCAAAGTGCTGGGATTACAGGCTTGAGCCACCGCGCCCGGCCGAATTTCTTAAAATTCCTTGAAAGCACCATACTTTGACATCTGGCCGCAGGCTACTACCTTGGCTGGAACACCCTCCATTCTCATCCTTCTTCTCCTTGGCCTCGCTAATTACTATTCATCCTTTAGGACATTGGCTTACAAACCAATTTCCACTGGGAATCCTTCTCTAACCTAAGACTAGGCATATTTCTATGTGGTCACAACACTTAATATGCTGTACAGTAACTGCCTGCCTACATACAGATGGTTCCTCACTACGGTTTCACTTAACAATTTTTCAACTTTCTGATAGTGTGCAAGCAATACACATATAATAGAAACCATACAACCATTGTTTTTTTCACTGTCAGTACAGTATTCAATAAATTACATGAGATATTCAACACATTATTACAAAATAGGTTTTATGTTAGATTTTGCCCAAATGTAGGCTACTCTATAATGTTTAGTAGGCAAGGTGTATTAAACGTATCTTCAACTTATGATGGGTTTATGTTACCCTGTCCCAAGTCGAGGAGCATCGGTATTTGTTTCTCCTGTCTTCTCACTGAAATACCCTCTACAGTAAGGGCCTTATCTCAATTCATCTGTATCCTCAGCACCCAGTAGGGTATCTAACACTCGAGAAGGTGCCCAAATATTTGTTGACAAAAAAAGTAAGCTGCTGTGATTTTCCTTATGTCCTTTAGTAATTCTAAATGCAAACCAAAGTCCTCAAATCTAGAATATACCGTGGACTAAAATTCAATGTTTCACAAGAATAAATGAAGATACTAGAAATATTTTGCAAAGGACTACCATTCTAAAGTACTATTCCTTAACTTTTATAAAAACATGAGAAAAAATGAAATAAAGGTCTCATTCTGTTATTGATTTTATTGGCTAATAATGATAATTGAATTGACTGACATTTTAAAATGAAGAAAGAGAAACATATATATTAAAATTGGGGGGATTAGGGCCCTAAGACTAATAAGATAGTCCAGTCCTTTTACTAACAAAGATTACTGTATATACTTTCCTGTGGTGGTAAGGGCTGAGAGGCAGAAAAACAGAGACAGTGAGGGGGAGAAAGCAAACATGGAGAATTAAGATAGCTGCCTCCTATTCTAATTCTCCTTGTCTTAAATCCCCTGAAAATTGACACTGGCATTCAGAGAATAGGGAGCACAATGAAAAAAGTGTGTAGATGGAATAACACTGTTTATATGATCTGTAAACTGTGTTCTTGCCTCACTAGTGTTAACTAAAAGAACCTATCCATTTTTATTTATGTTTTTGACAGGGTCTTGCTCTGTCACCCAGGCTGGAGTGCAGTGGTGCAGTCATAGCTCACGAGAGCCTCACTTCCACTTTGACTCCTGAGTAGCTAGGACTAAAGGAGTGCACCCCCATGCCCAACTAATTTTTTGTTTGTTTGTTTGTTTTTTAGTTTCATTCTTATTGCCCAGTCTGGAGTACAGTGGCACAATCTTGGCTCACTGCAACCTCTGCGTCCCAGGTTCAAGCAATTCTCCTGCCTCAGCCTCCTAAGTAGCTGGGATTACAGGCATCCACCACCAAGTCCGGCTAATTTTTGCATTTTTAGTAGAGACGAGGTTTCACCATGTTGGCCAGGCTGGTCTTGAACTCCTGACCTCAGGTGATCCACCTGCCTCAGCCTCTCAAAGTGCTAGGATTACAGGCGTGAGTCACTGTGCCCAGCCCCAACTGATTTTTTAATTTTTTGTAGAGATGGGATCTCACCATGTTGCCTAGTCTGTGGCCTCAAGCAATCCTCCTGCCTTGGTCCCCAAAGTGCTGGGATTACAGGCATAAGCCACTGCATCTGGCCTGACCCTATCCATTTTTTAAAAAAATTTAAGTTTTGCTTATTTTCATTAATCATTACATAAAACACTAAATATAAATGCCATGAAATATTCAATCTCAGATTTCTAAATTGTTATGGTTTTTCAATTTATACTCATGACAAATTTAAATTGCCACTACCTTATTAAGCTATTATGTCAGATACAAGCCTGCTTATTAATCCAGTGACAAAAAAGCAGAGTTCAGTTAATCTAAAATTGTAATAAATCTTAAGGGCATTTAATATAAAGTATTAAAATCCACACAAAAAGATTTTATATTTAAACACAAAACAATGCTTGCTGAATATTTATTATAATATCCCAACTTTCAGAGAGAAAGATATTTAAAAATAAACATGACGAGGAAATTAGGGAAGTCAACTTCTTAAATACAACCAAAGGGTCAAAGAACATTTAAGTCAGTTTAAAAATTAAACTTTAGGAAAAAAGGTAAACCTTGTAAAAGTCCCATTAAATTTCAGAAGCCTACAAAATGTCAGCAACAGAAAACATGTAGTTCACATGTATATTACATTCTGGTTGAATTTTTTCCTCTGTCCATTTAGTTTTATATTGGCTGGTCTCTTCACCAACAAATTTAGTTTTCAAATCTTGTTTTTAAGCAATAGAAAATCCTTTATCATTTCTAGAATATAAGCCCATACTAAAGAGAAAAGACTATTTAACCTCAAAGTCTACAGCATAATAAACAAGTACAGGGCAAATGACAAATTTTTTTGTATGTATGTATGTATGTATGTATTTATGTATGTATGTATGTATTTATGTATGTATGTATGTGTAAGAGAAAAAATCCTTCTGTATAAAACTCACTGGATGACACCAATTTTTCTAAAAGTGGTAATCAAAGCTAGAAGGATAATACACCATTTTAAAATTCATGTTCCAAGTCAGTTTTTTATTTTAATAACAATTACAAAATACTGAACAATGCACATGAGGCAATAATAGCTGAAATCACAAATTAGCCATGCATGCAGTTCATACTTGGTAGAGGGAGGTAGGAGGCACTGAAAGTACACTGTTGGACCAATTTATAATTACTGTAAAAACAAATCCCTCTAAAAAGGAAACCTAGGGACTACCCAGACAAGATGGAAAGGCTCTGATTCATTTATTAGACTGCATGGAATTTCAGTCTGTAGTGAGCAGGGTATCTGGAACTCTATACATAAAATTCCGTGTCATATTCCTTCACTTAATCCACAATATCATGTACCAATGGGCAAAACTTTGCTCCATTTCTAAAAATAAACTGAGAAATTGTTCAAAGGTATATTTTTATATATAGGAAATAGCAATTTTAAACATCTTACTCCTTGTGACAAGAAACGGCACAAAGCCACTACATATCACTTGAATATAAAAATGTATTCTTTTTAAAAAACTCTCATTTCCCATGCAATTTTAAGAAATAAAATTTTCCCCAAGGGGATGGGAGGAATGTAATTTCATGAGAATTACTCAACTTGGACAGAGTCCAGAAGATCTAAAATAATAAAATTGGTTATAAGCTGACAAATTTTATTGACTTAACTGCAAGTTAAGATTTCACTCTGCTGGCTTACACGAAAAGGCCCTGACAAGTTAAATGAGAATGATTTAAAAATATAAATTCAAGTAGCTACACAAATACTCATAAAAGGTTATACAGTGTATTGTACTTTTGAGATTACTTTTTTTGAGCCTAAGTCAAAGAGTCAGTTTAGTGATTTAAATACGTAAACTGAGAACACTGTAAAAGAATATTAGACATAAAATAAGAAATATTTTTACCCCACTGTAATCTGACAGTGCAAAAATATAAGTATGTAATTAAGGCTCCCTTATCCATTGAGAGTGATAATGGGCACTGACCTATCTTTAAAAAAATAAAAGAGAAGAAGAAGCCAAAAATAGAAGAGAAAGGCATACTTGAAGGAATTGGTTTACACTACTGTAATGTGAGTGTTAGACAACTTAATGCTATTTAGCCTGATGCTACTACAGTTCTTTTGGTGGAGAGATGGTGGAGTTACAATCATCAGGTGGCCGAATTATATATGCTGAGTTACTTATCCAAAGGAAAAGACTGAGGAAGAATAACTGGAAAAATGTGCAGTTGTCAACGACACATGTATGTACTCAAAACGACAGGGGAATTACAAAGAACAAAAAAAGGGAGTACAGGCTAACTATAACAAACAGAACAATCAGATCAGGTTAAAGTCTAGATTCTTAGGTCTTAAATCCTAATAAAAGCTTAGTAATAACAATATGATACCTAAACAACATGTCTATGACAGTTAAAGTGAAACAGAGGCCAAATAGATTTATTGTAGAAAGAAATGGCACAAGGAAACACTGGCATGCAAGTGTTTTTGATAACCATCTCTTATGAGACTTATAATAAATAGCATCTTTGGATTTATTCTGAATATATCTAACCGGTATGGCTGCTTCTCTTTATTGGTAGTTCAATGAGTAGCAGAGTGGTTAACATGAAAGCTAAATTTGCCACATTGAGACCTCAAACCATGATGGCAATACTTTATTTCCATGAAGAAGGGAAAATCCTTATGAATGAAGAACTAAGGAGTAAAATCACTGTTAGCTTATATAGGATTTAAAAAGGCTTTCAACTAAGACATTTCTACATGAAATTTAGTACTTCAAAATGGGTATAGTTGTATGTACTTCACAAACTTAAAGATTACTAAAATATGCACATAAAGGTAACAGTAAGCAACAACAAAAAAAAGGAATTAGAAGTATCAAGGTACTGACCCATGTCCTGAAGGAGCAATGAAGTATAAACAACATTGCACCCTGTTATCAGGCATCTGACGTCTGTTCACTCGTGATTCTGCATTTAAGTAGTCCTCAAATTTACTATCAATGTAGTCGATAACAGGCTGCCAGCTATAGAATGCAAATAAACAAACAAGTTGCAATTCTACATATGAATTAACGGATGACTGTTAAAGGACAATAATCAGTATTTTCAAATGGGCAAAATGAATTTACCAGTAGAAGGTATGTCAAGTTATTCCATATAAAGATTCAAAAATATAAATTATGTTGAATAAATCTTTATTATTTTAAAACTTTCCAAGTGAAAGAAAATAAACTATTTATTGTCAAAACACAGCTAAATTATTAGCATATTTTTGCACTAACAAGTGTATTAATAACACACGTCATAATATGAAAACAATTATATTCAGTTTTAAATTTCAAATGAGATTACTTTAAATAATAAAAAAACTTCATGATGAACTTATGAGTTTTAAGAGTTGACAGAAAATTACCTCAAAAACAATGTGAACTCAAACAAAAATAAAAGTATTATTTATAAAATACTAAGATAAGCACTTCAGACTAAAATTTCATAGTTGTTTTCTTCACTTAGGACTTACAGAAAAACTGAAGGTCTAAATATCAGGTTTAAATTAGGATTGAGATAGAATTTATACAAATGGATAAAATTAAAGCAAACAGTTTTAAATTTCTTACAATAATGAGAATTCTTCTATTTAGCTATGTTATTTTATAATATGTCTTAAAAACAATTTTATGATAGGTATTATTTCCATTTTATAGAAAAGTAAATGGGTTCAAAGAAGTTAAACAACTTTGTCAGATAAGTGGCAAAGTTGGTATACAAACCCAAGTCATGTCACTTGAAGTTTGGTGACCTCTGCTAAGATGAGAAGTTTTAAAATGTTAAGAAGAAAAAGTTTAACCACCCTAGTATCCCAAATGCACTGCAAAGTTGTGAGGACAAACCCTTCTTACCAATTACTATTATCCACTGCATCTCCAAATCCTGGGGTATCAACTATTGTGAGCAGCAACTGAACACCACCTTCTTTGATTAAAACTTTAGATTGTTCCACCTATAAGAGTAATTGGTGAAGACGTTAATATCATACATTACACCAGTGATTTCCTACAAGGGGTGACGGTAGGGACGTTCAAGTTTATCAAAACCAACTGGGAAACTGTTAGAAAGACCGAATCTACGTACTCCCACATTTTATTCAGAATCAATGATGGTGGGCATTGGAAATCCACATTATTTGAAAGAAAAGCATATATACAAATAGTATGCCAATCTCTTGGCAAATTCACACTGGGTTTACGACTCATACTTGGTATAAAGAAAGACAGAGGAACTGATAAAATAGTGATCACCACTAAAGACATGTAATGCTTATATAAACTTAAATGTGCACCTAATAATACAAATAAGCAGTTTGAGTGATTTAGTAATTCACAGAGTTCAAACATAATTAATCAGAGAACATCATCTAATCTACCATTTACAGTAAATGTGTTCCTGGACTATTCTCTATCATGTTTGGCCCCAACCACTCACTCAAATGAACTTACTATCATTCCTTAATCTTTCTCAGCATGAATGTAGTTACCCTTGTATCTATGTTATGGCTAGGATCCAATCCTCTTCTCAAATGTGATACTCCACATTCTGGACAATGTAATCAGCAAAAGTCCAGACAGTTAAAAAAAAAAAAAAGTGTATTCTGGTAGGGTGAAACCTTACTATTGGACTTAAATGATAACAACAGTTCCTGGAACAATTTAAGATATTCTGTAACCTCAAGCTCTGTATCAGAAGATGTATTATCATTCATCCTGGACATATGCTGCTGTTAAATGCAAAGTATCAGTTTTCAGGAGCCCAAGATAAAGCAAACACGGATTCAAATGAAAAAGGAATAATTCCTCCAGAAAAAGATAGGCTTTCTCGTGATACACATTTATATCAAGTCCTTATTAAGGCTAGAGGCTCCAAGTATGCTGATAAGCTAATTTACAAGACAAAAAGTTTGGGACACTTTTAGAGATAGCCTATTCCCTTTTGGCATGTTTTATAGATGCTACCTGATGCATGAAGAGACTAACATGTGGAGACTAAGATTGCTGAGCAAGAAAAGTCTGCGGCCTCACAATCCAGTAACACTTTCTGAGATGATGGAATTGTGTATCCACACTGCATCTCCAAATTCTGGGGTATCAACTATTGTGAACAGCAACTGAACACCACCTTCCACTTGTCCATGTGGCTACTTAGTCCTTGAAATCTGACTAGTGCAAATGAGGAGCTGATATTTAATTTTATTTACTTTGAATTAACTTAAATAGCCACATGTGGCTAGTGACTACCGAATACACAGCAGAGGTCTACAGCAATCAAGAGTTTTCTGTTATTATCAGGGATAAAACTTACTAAAACTGAAAAAAATTGCCTGAAATGTGGACATGCATGACTTATCTTTTAGAGAAATGAGATGCCAAAGTCTGATCTTTTAGATTAATGTTCTTTAAACTGCTTTGATCCTGATATAAACTATCAGTGAAAATTTTGCAGATCCAAAAGATATTTACCCACCAAATATATACTATTGGCAATCTGAATATTAAGTATTAATATGTATTATCATTTTTCTGTAGATTAGAAAAGTAAACATCAATAAGAGTTGTAGTATTTTCTGATCATCCTCAGTATCAATGACTGATGCACATCATTTAGGAGATCACTGTTACATACCACATAACTAAGATAACATGTCTATTATCAGGTTACCCTAATAACATGAGGGAGGCAAACTAACTCAGAGAAAACAATCAGATTCATCAGTGTGAGACCATGGGAACCAAAGGAAAAAGATTTTTTTTTTTTTTTAAGTCAGGGTCTCATTCTGTTGCTCAGGCTGGAGTGCATGGCAGATCATAGCTTACTGCAGCCTCACTCCTGGGTTCAAGCGATCTTCCCATTTCAGCCTCCCAAAGTGCTGGGCCAAAAAACATTTTTAATGGTATCATCTCATCTGGTTTAAGAGGTTTACATTTTATCTGGTGATCTTCTAGTCAAAGGACAACCCAGTCAAATCTAACATCTCAATATCTTGAATTCACCTCCATCTCCTTTATAAAGACAGATCATTTATTCATGATAACTGTGGCTGAAGCAGAAATATCCAAAGTAATCATACCAGTCCTTTACCTACTTACTCCTTTAAATAACATAGTACTATATACTAGAAAGTGATACAGCAATATAGTTAATCTACATGAATCATCTCCCAATTTTACTTCAAACTATTTCTGGTTCCTTTATTACCAAACGAAGCCCATTCTACCTTCAGTAATATGCTGTATACCAACTACACATTTTAACTTAACAGCTTAAATTTTAAGATATTTCCCTGTTTAAAAAAAAAATCAGTTCAACAACTTACTGACTTGCTAAGACAAATGAAGATTTGTATTTTATACACTTTAAGGAATGTTTATAAAGCTTCTTTTCTTCTCTGGCCTACGAAATTCTGTGTATCCATACATGGTCAAATACAAAGAAGTCAGTGACATATGGAAAAGATCCAGAAAACATCACTGTAAACTAGTGCCATTCACAGGATCCAACTGTATCCTATCATCTGGTATTACAAGTATTCTCATGGGATCCATGGAAAACAAATTAGTTCAAGTCCAAGAATTTCAAACTTTTCTTAACAAATCTATTCCAAATGGTCATTTTCCCATGCACTTTCCTTAAGCAGGTCACATCAACATATTTTATGGCATCACTCAGGGTTCTCTAAGATTAGCTGCGTAATTTAGTACCAAAAGAATGAATCGAGGGCATTTTCAACTGTTTTTCCCTGAAAAATAAATAAAACTAAAGCTATCGTCTACGTATCATCTATGTATAATTAATCTACTGAGACCTCTTTTGGCATTCGAGATTCCAGAAATCCAAGGTACTCATTTTCTAATACTGAGTGTATACAGTATACAAGAGTTCCAGTATACTGAGTTTTCAGTTTTACAATCTGAGGAAAAAAAGTCAAACAATGTTTATTATACAGCTTCATATAAACTAATCTTTTCTAACTTAATGTTTACATGCCACTTATTAAGGTAAATAAAAAATGTTACTTAATTAAGAATATAACATTTTGAAGAGAGAGTTAAAATTTTCTGTCAAGAGCTTACCTCTACCTACACTTGCTCAAGAGGTAGCATTATAGCCAAAACTCCGAAGAGATTTGAATGGCCTGAGATACTCCACTTAGCTCAAACACAAAAGCTATTTTGCTTATTTATTGACTCAAAAGACAAATATCATCTTAATCGTGTTCCACAAGAAAGTGAAAGAGGAAGTGACCAATAGTAGAACAGTTATCCCTAAAGAATACTTCCGTCTCATCAAGACCCAGAACTACTTTATTGAGAAGAAAGTTGATCCCAAAACTCTAATTTGGCCTTCTATTCTGAACCTCTTCATCTCTTATATCCCTGTCTCCTTACAGTGAGACCTTAAATCCCTTGACCCTCTCATTTTCTATTATCAACCTCCTTCCCAAAACCTTTCGTTCTTTCCCTTTCCAACTCAAATCCCATTCTGGATTAACCCATCTTTCTATTCCTACACCATAAAATTCATGACCTTCAACCTCAACAAGAATTTCCCTGCTAATATTCTTCTTATATGCTCCTTAGTCTTATGCCTCTCCCATTTCCCAGTAAAGCTCTTCCCAAGCCCATGTCTGTCACAATGCTCAGTGCAGTACCTCACATCTCCACTTAAAAATGAGACCACTCCCAGTCTGTATGAATCAGCAGTGTACCTTATGGTACAGTGTGTGTGAAATATATCTTTTTCCTAAAGCGATTTCTCAATCTATTATAGGGAACTGATTAATTTCCATTTCAGATTCATCTTGACAACTGTTTACACTATTTCCCCTCTATCTTCAATCTCTCATTTCTTAGAGAACGACTTGCCACAGGATATAAGCATTCTCAGGTCTCTTTTGGAAATCATCAAACCACTGAGTCCTCTATACTCACACTCCTAGGCACTCCTTTTCATCCCTTCCTTAATAGCCATCACCCACCCTCACTAACTCACTTACTACTCACTTCTCAACCCACTGCCATCTTGCTACCACTTCATTTAAATTTACCTTGCCAAGGTCACCTCTACAGCACCTTACAAAAGCATCTTTCTCACTAAGTCATAATTGTTTGTCCATATTTTTCCCATAATTGTGAGATCTTTGAGAACTTTTTGTCTTATCATCATTGTAGCCCCAAAACTTAGTATAAGACAAGCATTCAAATATGTTATGTGAATGGCTCAAAATCTATCAAAACTGGACCAAATGTCAACAGGAAAGTTTCCTGATTGGGCTCTGTGAAAATTTTTCAAGGAGTCTATCAAGTATGTTATCCTAGAGATGTACGTACTGCTTTCACCTTTTCTCACTTTCAAAACTTTTGCAACCACTTCATCTAAAATAGTGATTTACAAAACTTCAGGGGCCAGCTGGGCGCGGTGGCTCACACGTGTAATCCCAGTGCTTTGGGAGGCTGAGGTGGAAGGATCAGTTGAGGTCCAGAGTTCGAGACCAGCCTGGCCAACATGGTGAAACCCCATCTCTACTAAAAATACAAAAATTAGCTGGGTGTAGCACGCGCCTGTAAATCCAGATACCCAGGAGGCTGAGACAGGAAAACTGCTTGAGCTCAGAAGTGGAGGTTGCAGTAAGCTGAGATCACACCACAGCACTCCAGCCTGGGCGACAGAGCAAGACTCCATCTCAAAAGAAAAAAAAAACAACAACACTTCATGGACCAATAAAAAGTTTCAAAGGGGAACAGCATAAAGTTTCCAACTAAGAACTTCAAAAAATCTAAACAGTGTCATTGCACAAAAGAATTATCTTAATAGAACGCATTAAGAAAAAATTAAAATGGACTTTCATCTCAGAAAGAAGGATAATTTCTTCCCAAGAAAGGACAGATGATACCCTTTCACTGACACAAAGTATGATTTAAAAATTTTCAAATGCAGGCCAGGCATAGTGGCTCACGCCTGTAATCCCAGCACTTTGGAAAGCTGAGGCGGGCAGATCACTTGAGGTCAGGAGTTCGAGACCAGCCTGGTCAACATGGTAAAACCCCATCTCTACTAAAAATACAAAAATTAGCCAGGCATGGTGGCACACGCCTGTAATCCCAGGTACTCAGGAGGCTGAGACAGGAGGATCACTTGAGCTTGGGAGGTGGAGGTTGTAGTGAACCAAGATTGCACCACTGCACTCCAGCTGGACGAAAGAGCAGGACTCCATCTCAAAACTAAATAAATATAAAAATTTTCAAATGCAACAAAATTATAAAATAAAGCTTAATTGTTAGTATACATACAACATTGTAAGCAATATATTTCCAAAAAATTTTGTTAATCTGGGTATCTATATTTGAGACTCAAACATGAAGTAGAGCTTATCACATGTTCAATTTTTTTATTTTACTTCATTTTCATTAATCTTTCAGAAAAATATATATGTAAGTAAAAAATGGAGGTAATATGGTACCATTCCATTCCATTTGAAACATTCTGAAAGAACTAAGGCAAAGCACTTCCCTCTCCTTTCACCCTGACAGACACAGGATAAAACCAGTTTGCAGTAGAGCAGTGGTTCTCAAAATGCAGTACCTAGACTGGCAGTAATACATTCTGAGAACTAAACAAATACAAATTATTTGTGCCCTGCCTCAAACCTGCTATACAGCAAACCATGAAGAAAGGGACTCAGCAATCTGTGTTTGAACAAGCCTTCCATGTGACTGTGATGTGCGCTCAAGTTTGAGAAGCACTGGTATAAAGAATTCCAGGACTGGTGTCAGCTTGCATCTGGAAATGCACAGATATAACTCAGGGTTCTGACATCCAAGATAAGAGGTTAAGAATTAATCTTAATGAGCTTCTATTAATACTGAAAACTTCACTTGAATCAGAACCACTATTTTACACACAGGAGGCTAAAAATCAGCTCTCTGTTCAGTGTACACAGCTTCCCATTCCTTCCAAGACTGTGAATGTGAATAAATATCTCCTTTAAGATACAAGTCTCTTATAAACAGATAACGCCCAGGGATGAGAATATGAGACCGTGGTCTTTATTAAAATCTTGCTCCTTATTCAGCTACATAGCAGGAGAGTGTTTTTCTCCCCATTTTTATAAACATTTGCATTTTGAAAATCAGGACTGTATGTTTACCAGACTAATATGTCTGGACTGAGATACAATACTGGTGATCACTCCCCTCTACTGTGAGTGTTTACGAGCTTCCAACGACAGATCATCTGCTAGACTACTGGGCTTGGTAAGGAGCCAGCCAACTATTAAAAAGATTACATTCTAATTTTCTAACTACATTCAGGCTTCTTGAATGACTCTGATCCTGTCTGTAATAATGGCATGTTCTTTCCTGAGTAATGGGCAAAAGAGTTTAGATGATCTTCAACTGGTTCCCAGTACACAAAGGAATACACCTCCATGGTTCAGTCAGGAAAGATGACTTCTACAGGATTCTAGTAAGGATCAATCTGGTTCTCAAATGTTACAGGTCTTCTTTTCGGTAAAGAAAAGATATTTAACAGTGGTACACATGCCTCTGTCTTAAAAATCCTCCTAGAGATATTCTCACCTCCATTACCCCTTTGTTTTCAAGATAAAGAGAGTTTCTGGGAAGATATTCACAACAGAAGAGGATATTTTTGAAGTGTTATTTTAAAGGAAGGTAAAATAAGTTTAGACAATTTATTCTGAAGCTAGGCCAATGTAAGAATTCGAATAAATTGAGGGCATGTCACATCTTTAACAGATGCTTGCCTGGCAAGAAAATGTCTGCAATATCTAAAATGTAGGGGATTATTAGATTTTTAAAACTCCTATAAATCAGTAAGAAAATGACAGAAAATAATAAGATTATCAAAACACTTTAATGAAATGTGAACAGTTAATGAGTACAAAAGACATGTTCAACCTCACTAGAAATCAAAGAAAATAAACTCAAATACCTTTATATCTTTATGCACACACAACAGCAATGAGCGCCTAAGTCTACCAAAACATACACAAGAATGTTCCTATTAGTAAAAAACTGAAAACCCAAAGGCTTATCTAAAATAAATAATAAAGGATATACTGATAAATTCACACAATGGAGTATCATACTATGATGAAAAAGAACTACACCCAACATGAGTAAATAATACAGACGTAATCTTCACTGAAAGAAAATAGATACAAAAAAGTGTATGTATATAACGTTCAAGAACAGGCAAATTTATCTACGGAGAAAGCAGTCAGTTAAGGTATTTATCTTTGTGGGGTGTAATACTGAATGAGAGTGAGCACACGGAAGAAACTAGGGTTCTGGAAATGAACTGTATATTAATTTGGGTAGTGGTTAGTTTTACCTTGCATCTCTAAATTCATAAATACCTAAATTAAGGTATTCATAATAGATACCCAAATTAAGAAAGTTCAAAGTTCGTTTTCTTGCTTAGGATTAAAATTTCCAATATTTATGACAAACAAGCATGCAGGATCAAGTTTTTAGAGCATAATTTTGCAGGTAATTTTAAATCTCAAGTCCTATGAAGGTTACCAAAACAAAACAAAACAAAACAAAACAAAACACAACAAAATCCTAAAATAGAAACATGGAAAAGGAGAAATAAGAAATTCACTTCACAAAATTATTCCTTTGGGATCTAGTTACTAAACTGCATCTTGTAGTTTGATATATATGAGTTACTGCCCAGAATATATAGACTGTCCTTCCATCCTGTGCACTGGGATCATCACTACCACTTCTTTGAATTCAGCTAAAAGCATCACTGCCTCGATGAAGCCGACTCCAGCCAGAAATGTTCACTTGCCTCCTCTCTGCTCATGTCCTATATATCACATAAGCAGAGCTCAACAACAATATTTTTAATCAACAGTTTAGAGCAGTACTGCCAAACAAAAACACCATGTCAATCACATAATTTATAATTTTCTTAGTAGCCACTTTTAAAATAGGAAAAAGGTTAAATAAAAAAAAAAAAATACCATGTCAATCATATAATTTATAATTTTCTTAGTAGCCACTTTTAAAATATGAAAAAGGTTAAATAAAATTGATTATTTTATTTATACATCCAAAATATTATCACTGTAGTATACAATCAATATAAAAAATTATTGAGATTTTTTTTCCATGCTCAGTCTTAGACATCTGTGGTATATTTTATATTTGCAGAACATCACAATTCAGACTACCCACATTTCAAAGATTAATAGCCACACATGGCTACAGGTTGCTGTAATATTTAATAAAAAGTGCATATCTAGAATCCAGCCCCTTGCTCTATAAAGTGTGATCTACCATCCAGCAGCATCAGCATCACCTGTGATCTTGTTAGAAATGCAGAAATTGCAGCCCATCTCAGACGTACTAGAAGAACTAAATTTAACAGGATATCCAGAATTGGAATGCATAGCAAATACTGAGAAGCAGTAAATTAGATCACGTATACCTTGGGAGTCTTACAGAATTGCTATTGCCATTCAGCTATGACATGGTATTATGCCACTGACTAATATAGAACACTGTATTTAAATAACAAAAGCTTTTCTATAAATCATGTTTTCTCTACACTATCCAATGCAATTTTCTGCAATGATGAAAATCTTCATATATGTGCTGCAAAAAAATGGCAGCCACTTGCCACATGAGCTGTTAAGCACCTAAAATGTATCTGGAGCAAATGAAAAATTGCATTTTTAATTTAACTAATTTTAATTGATTTAAACATGTGGCAAATGACTACCACACTAGATAGCACAACTCCAGGGGAATTGGTTACTATGTCACAATGTCATCTCTAGGAGAGTCCTCGGGACAAATTTGGAAAGTTCTAGTCAAGATAATTCTGATTAACTGTACTTTTTAAAAAATTTTATGAAGTCATATTTACTATCTTACACTGAATAAGGGCAAATTTGTATCTTACTTCTAAGGAAGCATAATAAAAGTTACGATATGTGCTTTGTATTAATATTACTCCAGCTTATCATCAATTAACAATACTAATATCCATACCTGTACAGTCTTTTTAATTCTATGAGAAGGACCTGGATACTCTGGAGAATACAGATCTGTGAGGAATAATGAGTTGATTAACGTCGACTTTCCCAATCCAGATTCACCTAAAAGAAATAAGGGAAAATATCTGTTAAATTCACCCACTTTACCCAACCTTAAATATTCAACAGATGCTATAACTGAACTTGCTTTATGCAAGTACTTCTTGGTGAAACAATGAAATGACATTAGAAAATATGCTACAAAGAATAAGTATCTTGTCCTCAGTTTCTTAGCTATCAAATTAGACTCATGCTTCCAGGGATTCTTTTCAGTCTTCTAATTATACCACTTATATTCATTAAAAGTAATGTATCTAATAATCTACATTTTTAACAGTAATGTATTCCCAAAGAAAAAAGTCATTATTAAAAAATCCAAGTTGGATTATACATTGCTGCTTGAGTGAAATAAAGTTTTTCTTTACTAATAGACAATAATGAATGACCAAAACAAGAACTCATGCAGCCATAAAAAGCAAAAATCTGCTAATACAAAGAATAATTAATCACAATGAACATCTCCACATAAAATTCTAAATCACAAAAAATACTTTCTAATTTAGCCACCCATCAGTCTAAATATAAGGGTACTACTTCTCCCAAACCAGAATCCAAAAAAATCTTAGGTAATTATTTTTTATACTGCTTCTACTCAAGGTAGGAGGTAGACATGAAGGAAGCTAGGGCATGATTTGTACTCTGATCACGTACTCTTTTTTGACTCTCCATCTCTAGTCTAATATACATAGTCTAGTGTATAGTAACTATTACAAGTATACCAAAATATAAATGGCTTCAAGGTATATATAACCTAAGGTTAAAATAAATTATAAACCATATTACGATAATTAACATGGCATAGAGTTAAAGTATGTATTGTTAATAATTCACTTAGAATAACAGACATGTTTAGCCTAAGTAACTGATGTCACAATATATGTCTAGGAGGAATTCTTTTTATATCAGCTCTCAAAAGAGATAAGATCCTTTCCACATGGTCTGGGCTTACCCTTTGACTGAAAGCATGCCACTTTTTACTAGATGTAAAAATGCCAAAAATGTCTAAGTCACAGGAAAGTAACATGGGTTGGCCACACCCAATTCTTTCTTAACTCTTATACCTTGAAAGCAGAAAGACTAGAATAAAACCCAAGCATTTGGATGTTATCAGAAATATCTACAATATTTCCTTTTGGAAATATAAATGAAAATTTTGGTATATACAATAATGTTTTGGGAAATTAAAAAGTATGCTCATTAAAAGATTAACACTGTACTCAATAAATCATGTTTAAGAGATTTTTTTAGTTTTTTTACCCTTTTTATTTGTGGTGAGGAGTCGGGGAACAAGACGACACAGGACAAAGGGAAAAGAGAGAGGAAGAAAAATAAGTCTGAAAGGTAACGCACCAAAATGTAAACAGTGGCTACTCTGGGGACAGTACAATGTAGATGATTTTTCTTAGTTTGTTATAATTCGGGGTGCTGTAAACTTCCTTCAATATGATTCTATTATATTCATAATTTAAAAAGCATTACTGAGTGGCAGCAAAACGGCAAATTAAAAAGCTCAAAGCCTCATTTCCTTACAGAAACACCGAAAACAACCAAAACCTCGTAGAATTAACCTTACAGGACCTGTGAAAAACAGTCAAAAGTCTATAGTGACGAAGCAAATGCCCAATTAAGAAAAAAAAATATGCAAAACTTTTGTGACATTTTTCTGTGATCTTGTCCCACCCCTTCTGCAGTTTATCTGGGTCTCAAGAAGGCAGCAAACCAATTCCCAATTCATCCCCTTCAAATGGGCGGGAAGAGTGCAGACCTAACTTGTAACATTTTAACCTCTCTGGTCTGCCAGAAGAACTGATTCCTGTTTTGCCTAACTGGGACCTCATTTGGAGAGAGAAGCAATGCACACCACTCATGAAAGCTGCAAGAGGACACAACAGATATTTGGGGCATAAGATTACAGTGGGTAGATATAATAGACCATCTGAGCATGCAGGTGAGACTCTTCAGGAAATTTAGACATTCAAAAGCAGCCATGTATAGAGGAGGAATTGAGAAAGCGACCCACAGGCCTAGGCAATACAAATGCTCAGAAAAGAAGATCTTAAGCTTTCATCTTGGGGTGATCACTAGGTTAAGGGCATGCTCAACTCATCAGCAGAGAAATGCCCCAGTAGTACATAGCCAGTGTGCAACTGAGAGAAGTGACTCTTTCAAATACTCAGTTTTCAAAAAACATCACGAGGCATGCAACAAGGTATAGGAAAATATGGCCCAAAGGAACAAAAATTTCCAGAAACTATTCCTGAAGCAATACAGATATTAGACTTATTAGACAGACTTGAAAGTAGCTGTCTTAACTATGCCCAAAGAGCTAAAGAAAAAAATGAACCAAAATGAATGGAAATCAGGAAAATAATAAGCAAAATGAGAATATCAATAAAGAGGAATTATAAAAACAAATTGTGGAGCTGAAAAATACAATAATTGAATTGAAAATGTCACTATATAGGTTCAATAGCAGAACTGAGTAGGCAAAAGAAAAAACTCAGTAAACCTGAAGACAATTGAAATTATCAAATCTGAGCAGAAAGAAAAAAGATGAAAAGTAAACAGAGCCCAAGAGATTATGAAACAAAACAACTGGACCAATATATACCCAATGGATGTTTCAGAGGAAGAGAAATGAACACAGAGATTACATGAAGGAAAAAACTCCCCAAAGGTGATGAAACAGATGAATCTACAAATCCAAGGATCTCAACAAACTCCAAATAAGAAAAACTCACAACCGATATCAACACAATTACAATCAAACTGTCAAAAGCCAAGACAGAATCTTGAAAGTGGCAAAAGAGAAGCGACTCACTGCATAGTCAGAATCCTCAAATAAGACTGTAAGCCAACTTTCTGGCAGAAACCTTGCGGGCCTGAAGGGAGTGCAACGATACATTTAAAGTGCTACAAGAAAATAACTGTCAAATGCAAATTCTGTATCTGGCAAAAGTGACCATTATAAATGAGGGAGAAATAAAGACATTCCCCAATAAACAAAACCTGAGGGAGGTTCATTATCACTACACATATATTACAAGAAATACTGAAGGTAGTCCTTCAGGTTGAAATGAAAAGACTCTAGACAGTAACTCAAAGCAATATAAAGATATAAAGATCCCGTGAAGGTAAATGCAAGGGCAAATATAAAAACCAGTATTATCAGATTTTTGGTTTGCAAGCTCACCTTAAATTTTCTATGAGTTTTTAAAGGTAAATGCATTAAAAAATCATGAATCTGTGTTAATAGGTACATCAAGTATAATACTGCAACTTCCAACATCAATAACATGAGAGGGACAGAGCAATGGAAGTGTAGTTGTTCAATGTGATTTAAGTTAAACTGGTACAAAAAATTAGATTGTAAAAACTTTAGGATATTATATATTATCCCTATAATAACCAAAAAAAATTTCTATAAAATATACCAAAAAGAAAAAAAAGACAGAAGGGAATCAAATTGTGTCACTACAAAAAATCAAGTAAACACAAACAAAGGCAGTAATGGAAGAAATGAAGGACAAAACAGCTAAAAGACATACAGAAAACAAAATGGCAAAAGTTAGTTCTTCCTTATTAGTATTTATAGGTAAATTAATTAAACTCCCCCAATTAAAGGCACAGAGTGTCATAATAAATAAAATGACATGACTCAACTGCGTATCTATAAAAGACACATTGTAGATCTAAGAAAACACATAGGTTCAAAGTAAAAGGTTAGAAAAAGATAATTCATGCAAATAGTAACCAGAAAGGTAGAGAAGCCATACTAATATTAGACAAAATAGTCTCAAGTCAAAAACTATTATCAAAGACAAAGAAGGGCTTTAAATGTTGATAAATGGGTCACTTTGCCAAGATGATGTAACAATTAAAAACATATATATACAGCAAACATCAGAACTTTAAATTATGTGAAGCAAACATTGGCAGAATTAAAGGGAGAAACAGACAGTTCTATAATAATAGTTGGAGACTTCAATACTCCAGTTTCAATAATGGACAGGACAACTAGACAGAAAATAAACAAGGAAATAGAGGATACAAACAAAACTGTAAAGCAATTGAAGCTAACACAGACAAAACACTGCATCCAACAACAGTGGTCTACACATTTTTCTCAAGGGCATGTAAAACATTTTTCAGCAATGACTAAAAGAAACAAGTCTTAACAAATTTTAAAGAATTGAAATCAAGCAAAGTATTTTTTTCCCATCATAATAAAATGAAACTAAAAATCAGTAATGGAAGGAAACTAGGAAAACTAACAAATATTTGGAAATCAAACAACACATTCTTATCAATCAATGGATCAAAGAAGATTTCACGAGGGAAATTAAAATATACCCTGAGACAAAATAAAAATAAAAACCCAACATGCCAAAACTTATGGAATGCAGAAAAAGCAGTGCTAAGAAGGAAATTTATAGTTGTAAACATTTACATAAAAATGAAGACTTTAAACAACAACCTATGTTTACACCATAACGAATTAGAAAAAGAAGACCAAACTAAACTCAAAGCTAGCAAAAACAAGAAAAAAATAAAAATGAGAGCAGAGATAAATAAAACAGATTTTAAGAATAGAAATTGGGCCGGGCGTGGTGGCTCACACCTGTAATCCCAGCATTTTGGGAGGCCGAGGCGGGTGGATCACCTGAGGTCAAGAGTTCAAGACCAGCCTGACCAACATGGTGAGACCCCGTCTCTACTAAAAATACAAAACTGGGCCGGATTTAGTGGCGCATGCCTGTAGTCCCAGCTACTTGGGAGGCTGAGACAGAAGAATCGCTTGAACCCAGGAGGCAGAGGGTGCAGTGAGCCGAGATCGTGCCATGGCACTCCAGCCTGGGCAAGAAGAGCGAAACTGTTTCAAATAAATAAATAAACAAAAGAATAGAAATCGGCCAGGCGTGGTGGCTCATGCCTGTAATCCCAGTACTTTGGGAGGCTGAGGCGGGCAGATCATGAGGTCAGGAGACTGAGACCATCCTGGC